AGTGACTGGCCAGGCATGTGTGAGTGAAAGCCATACCTTGATTGGTTTTTTGGTGAGGTCTTTTCAGCCAAGTGGGGAAAAAAGAGAGGAATGGCCTGGCTGTCCTTTTGGATGTATATCCTGGGTGTTATGCAGGGAACAAGAGAGGGTGGATTGGGTTGGTGGTGGGTCAGGGCTGTGCAGATTTGCTGGGGAACATAAGGGGGGAAATGGCAGGTCTATTATGTGAAATAAGAGGGGTTTTTGGCTGGTATTTTCAGCCCTCATATGGGAGGAATGAAGTGAATTAACTGGTTGTGGTTTGGCAAGGAATTTTGGCCAGGAGTGTATTAATTCAATGAAGGGACAATGTGGGGTTCATAGGGTGTGGTAGTGTTGTCCAAAGAAAGTAAGAGGCTGGGTTGTTTGGATTTTTGGGGTTTGATTTTTTGTGCAGGGGGGTTTTCAGCCTTTATGGGGTGGAGATATCCAAAAAGATTATGGCTAGGTTTTGAGGTTTGTTGATGAATTCTTTCCAAAAAGGATCATAATACCTAGTCATTATTCCATTGATTTGTTTAAGGACTTTGGGATCATTGGTAGTACCCGGGGATATATCAGCTTGAGCCGGGGTCTCTTGGAAATAACCTCCTTACTTTTGAGTAGGGGTAAGGTCTATGTACACCCCCTCTCCAGACCCTATTTTTCATGGAGTTTTACGGGGTTTGTTGCTGTTGCTGCATCGACTAGCTGCAAAACCATTTTTCTTAGTCTTTTCTTCTCTCCACTTCCAGCCTAAGTGTTTTCTTTTAGTTCTTAATTTTTTCAGCACTTGATTTCTCCTACCGAAAATTATTTTCATATTGTGAGTAAAATGCATGCTGGTGTCGATTTGTTACCAAGATCATCTGATGACCGTAAGAAAAATCTTTTACCTCTTCAAATTATACCAAAAGTATTTTTTGAGTGTCAGGTAATTCCTGAAGACGTGATACACATGCTGGAAGAAATAGAGAAAGAATCAGAAATTGATGAGATCTTAAGCTACAGATCTGCTGCAGAGCGTGAACTGCAGGTAAGTCATAAGTGAGATACATGGATCCATGAAATACGCATGCTTAGCATACATTACCAGCTCAAGGCAGATCATGTGATTATTGATTTTTTACTTGATAGTGATGGAAACGAGTGCCAGTTAGTAAAAAGTCATCTGGTTCACACTGTTTGCAGGACATTTTACTTGCACACACTTCTAACAATGTGAATACTAGTAAATCTCTTGAAGACGAGCGCACATTCAACAAGCCCCGTGGGTGGTTGAATTGGCTATCCCGTGGGATGCTCGGGGCTGGTGGGACAGACGATTCCAGCCAATTTTCAGGCATAATCTCAGATGATGTACTCAAGGCGAGCACATTTCCCTCTACCTGAATGAAACATGAAATTGATTCATGTCTTACTACAGTCATTACTAGTTTGTTTTTTCTCCAAGCGTTAATTTGGCATCTGGTTGCGTAGGATATCTATGAAGCAACTAAGTTTCATCCGGTACAAACGGTTGATGCGGATGCTGCAGCAACTGATAAAATGTTTTTGTCATCCATCAAGTTCAGCATTAATCAACTTTCGGTTACTTTGCAGAGAATGTATGACATTAATCTCAATAAACTAGATGCTCAATTGCATTAGTTTTGTTCTAATTTACTTTTGCTTGTCTTGTTATCTGACTATCTAAGTATGCAGTTAAGAATTTGATTCTTGTGTTTCTTTCTGGTTACAATTCTTAGCCAGTCTTTCAAACTGTCTATTAGAGGCAGTGATACACAACTATTTTTATGCATATGCTGGGGCTTTTTTTTTCCTTTCCATTTTTTGATTATTTTGTGTTAGATTAGATATTTGTTATGTGTGTTAAAGGTTAAATCCCTCTTTCTCCAACCATGTTCTTGTAGGAAGTTGGGTTGTGCAATTGCCCATCTGACACTGAATGAAATGTCAGTAGAAAGTGAGATTTGGGAGGAAGAGACAAGTTTTAATGCCACTATTTGCTCTTGTGAGATGCTGAATCCAATCAACAATGAACTCGTCTTATTCACAAGGGTTGGTATTTTTTCTAAAACTCATTTATAGGAATATGATTTCAGTTTTTGGTCCCTTGGCAGTTGGCATTTAGTTTGAAGAAATGGAAAGGATACACTTGAATAATAAAATAAGTTCAATGTTTTGAGATGGACACCAATTAGGACTTATGCTAATGCTGAAGCACTTCTTAACTTAAATAAAGAACACGTCAAAAGGACTAATAGATCACCCCCAAAACAAATAAATAGTCTTTATAGTGTTAGCAAGAATTATGGATTAGCGGTTGCTAGTTTGTATATATTGCGTCCATTGCCGATGGAGCTTTTTTTGCTGTTGAAATTGCCAATGGAGCTAAAAGAGCCATTTTTTTTACAATGTTTAAGCTTAGTGCAAGTAATGGATTAAATACTGTCACATTTAATTTTTGTTGCTTCCTTTCTATGAAGTTTTGACTTTTGAGTAGTAAATGCAGCAATGCATCGAAGGCCTAACACAAACGGCCTCTCTATTTTTTTACGGGGTAAGGTTGGGCACATCTTGATCCCCCCAGGACATAAAGTAGTTAGGATTATGTTGAGTTTATGGTTGTTGTAGACATTGCTAGGAGGTTCAGAGTTTGGAGGTCTCATGGAGAGGCAAAGAGTTGCCACCACATTTAAGATAGAAGCTAATTGCATTAGGTGACTGGTTACATTAGCAGGCGATTTGATGATATTCTAACTAAATTATTTGATTGTTAATAAGTAATAACATAATAGAATGACTTTTTACTAACAAGAGCCCTGTTAGTGCAGGTAGGACAAAGGATATAGAAGAGTCTAGATTCATAACTCTTCAAACAGGATTGATTTGATATGATTATCGAAGTACTATTCTTAAGCAAAAGTTCTCTTGTAAAATTTTTGTTTATTGAAAAAGAGGTTTCTTTTCATAATTGTCCAGGTGGACCACGATGGAGGCACAATCAGCTTTCCACAGCCTCTTATAAATATCCATGCTGATATGCATTCTCCACACAAAGCTGTCAACCTATCAGTTAAGCTACTTCCTATATAGCCTTCATGTTTTAACCGTTTTTAACACCATTCACCTGATTGTTTGTGTCCAAGAATTTTTAATTCAGGTCATAGTTCAGCCGCTTGAACTGACATACAATTCAGACTTCGTAAATAACATTCTGGCCCTTTTTCATGTTGTGGAAGAGTTTGAAACTTTGAATTACAGGGTAAGTGTATTTGTGATTTTTTATTATAATTGATTTATTCACATAGTTAACAATTGTGGTAGGAATGACATGATGAAGCTATGATTGGTTTCTCCTCATTGGATTTAACATGTTCTTGGTCATTGTTATTTTTCAAGGTGGTTTAAAGTCTGATATGTTATGTGTCTTGAGGTTTCCTAAAGTAGATCCTAAAATGTACTGCTATGTAAAATGTACACATGAATCCAACTTGTCATTTTTGACAATGTTTTAGATTCTGTTAAGTAATGGACTAAATAAGAAATAGCAAATTAAAGTATTAAACTTCTTATGCTTCTTACATTTAAAAAAGTTTTGGGTGGTATATGCATTATGCAACAATGCATCTCGGGTCTAATGGAAATAGTCTCTCTGGTTTTTATAAAGGTAAGACTGACTACATCTTGACCCCCAAACCCCAACAGAGTTGGGATTATACTGTGTTTCTTTTTCACATGTAGTGGCTCTCTGGTAATTTTTTTCCTCTTCAGATTCTTTTATCCATGAATGGGATTGACAACATCAAGTCAAGACTTCTATCTAAAGTTGAGTAAGTACTAAGCATTGCCAGTGGCATATTCCTTGCTATATGAGTTATAACCTCTAATGCTCATGCACTTTTAATGGATTAAAATAAACATAGTTCCCATATGATTGCTTTCTTAGCCACCCGTTTTTTTTATTTTCTTCATTTCCTTTCAGCTATATTTTATCAAACCGCAAGAAGATGGTGTGGGATGTTAATTTTGCAACCATTGTCATCAAGATTCCATGGGGAAAAGCAAATTTTGAAGCGCATAAACTGGTATTTAGTTACTCAATATGATGGGCTTTGCCAAGTATGAATATGATTTATGTAGAACCTTTGCATAGGTGTATAAATGTTCCTTTCTAAATCATCAATATACAAATCTCTGTTCTTCATATCAACTCTTTCTTCTTCACATTGTGCTTTAGCGGCTTTCTGGCTCACTCTCATGGCCTATTTTTCTTTGCATCTCATCAGACCCTTCTTGAAAGTTAAACAACTTTGAGATTAAGGAGTTGTAATGAGAAATAAACTCATTTAAAAATGGAAATTTAGTTAATCAGATCAGAGGTTAGGCGATGTCTAACATGTTCTCCAACTTTCTATTTCCTGCTCATCTTTCTGATTTTTTTTTATTTACTTACCTTTTTGACATACTCTTTTTTTGACAAAAAACTTGTAATCATCTGGAATCTGGATGATTAACTGTTATCACATGTTTTCATTGCCAATAAAGGATTCTTATAATTTACTCTCTCCATTCCATAAAATTTTTGTCACTTTGACTTCACGGAGATTAATAAAATAGTTGAAAAGTGAAAAGTGTGGTTAGAATTTGTTTAGAAGAGAGAATTATTGCAAGCCTTTAATTCTTTGGGACGTACAAAAAAGGAACATGGAAAAATCCTTGTGAGACGTATGAAGTGTTCCATTATTTCTAAGCTATAATTCCAACAAAAAGCAGCATTCGGTTATTTCGGTATATCATGTGTCATTGCTATGCAATTTAATTAGATTTATGATTGAGGTGACATGAGTAGCTTCTTGAGAGTTATGACCACCCTGTCTATGGATGAAAGATGACCCTCCACTGCAAGTGTGCAACACCAAAATGCCATGGCTCGTGTGTGATGTGAAAACTTTTGTGCTGGTCTTATCGAGTGCTATTTTGGATAGATATATGGATTAAAGTAGACATTAAGTACTTCACTGTGTTTTCCAAAGATCAAGCAATCTAAAACAACTTCAATTTCAAAACTCTTAAGGTTCTTTTAATGAATTCATAGCAGATACCTAATTGGTCCCAACTCCCAAGCATTTTAATATTGATTATCTTGACTATTATGTTCTACAACTTGAAGATGCTTCCATCATTTTACCGTCTCTAGTCTCTACTATCTCAATGATATGAGTTTCACAGGTATTGGATGTTGGTGAGTTATCTATTGTCTCTAAGAACAATAAGGGCTTTGTAATGGCAACTTCTGATTTATTGGATGATTTTATTGAGGGTTATCAACTTCAAGATTTATACGATCACTTCGAGGTCACTATAAGCAACTTTCAGGTCAGTGTGCTGTTGAATGTCAAGTTTACTTCCTTTTAGGGGCTTTTTGGTTGGTGTTTTTTCGGGTATAGGGACAGGGTTAGAATGACCCCATTTCCATACCAGTGTTACATTAGAAAAAACTCCTACCATTTATGAACCCACTAACCCAGAGCCATAACCACCCACCCCCCGGGTCTGGAAATGACACCCTCCGACTCCTTAGAGTTTGGCTCAAACCCTTGATCCATAGCCAGTTCCACCCCCGTCTCATCAGACTTCCAAATCTGCTTTTTAACTGCCACTGTCTTGCATACCACCACCACCACCATCACATTCCACTACAATACACCACTATCATCCTTACGTATAGCCAACAACCAGATTGTAGGTTGAAACTCAAAGTTTTTTGGACTTCGTGCATGCCTTTTTTTGTGGAGGAAAGTGGTGGCGGCTGCGGAGGTGGAGTGGGGGCAACATGGGAGTTTGGTGGCTGGGTTGGAAGAAGAGGGGTTGAAGTTGGCGAGTGTTGAGTGCTCTTTTCACATAAGTGCTCATTTCCTTGAACCAAACAGCCTCTTAGTATGTTGGCCCTGTAAACAAAAGGGCAATTTAATGCACAAGTTGTAAATTGTAAAAATTTGCAGATGAATTTATGGGCTTCTTGCTCTTATGTGCCTCTCCCCATTATTGAAAGGTTTGATGGTTCGCTTGCCTTGAAGTTGTGCATTATTCCAGATGAATCAGTCTTGAAAAGACTTGAGGTTAGGATGGTTTTTTAAAAATATTTTTTAGATAAATTATGTTATGATATTGCTAGCTCTTTTTATACTATTATCCTGCATATGTGTAGTGAGTGAAATGCTTCCTTCTCAATTTTTTGTTTAATACTCCAGCAGCTCCATTAAAAGGTTGTGTATTTTCTTTTTTATCTATTCCAAAATAAGGTTCGTCTTTCATTTTAAGGAATGAAATGTGTGGTTCACATTTATGCTCTCTCCTCTCGATAAGTCTCAACCACAAAATCCTCGCTTTCTTAATAACCGTGTTAATTTCAATGTGGAACCTTATTTTGGGAAGGAGGGAGTAACTAATAAATTTCATCAAATGGACTCGGATCCTTTAATGTATGATTGTTCATATATTTGTGTTTGTGTTATGAAATGAGTGCCTAAGAGAGTAAGAGCATATGGTATTAGTTCAGCCTCTAAACACCAGTAGGATGCCATATCTAATGGACTTGCTTATGAATATGTGCATCATATGGCTACATGTCATGAATACTTGTTTTTTATATTTCTTTCAGGTTGGCATGGAAGTTTCATCCATTGTTGCTCATATTTCACCATCTCTTCATGGTTTACTTACAGAACTAATAACAGATTTTGTTCTGCCACAATTTACACAACTTTCTTCCGACTCATATATGCTTAGGAAAAGGCCCAGTGGATTTGCTCCCTTGAATATCTTCTGGATTTCTGCAAATGCGGATGTGAAATCTGTTTCTCTTTTTATTGATCTTGAAATTGATGCTGGGAATCCTTGTAGCCTCACACTCTCTTTTCAGGAGATTGACATTCGGTGCGTTGTCTTCTAACAATAATTTTATGTCTCATATTTAGTTAAACAACAATTAACTCTGAAACTTTGAAAAAAAGTTGCTTGAATTTCATCCAATTATATTATCAGTATCCTTTGCTTATGTTTGCCAGTGCTGTCAAATAGTGGACATGGCAGAATGACATAGCAAACTTTTGTCCAGTTTCTTAACTTTCTTTCAATAACACAGCTCTTTGTTGACTATCATTCATTCATTAATCATTATCATCAGCACCTTAATTCCAGCAATGTTGGGGTTCGCAAGTTGTGACTTAAAAATTATGTCAACTCATTGAATTTGCCAAATCCGTTTATACTATTTATATTGCGCTTTTGTTTTTCAACACCTTTATTTTACATATTCTAATACAATTTTCTGCAGAGTTTGCCATGGATTAATAACTGCATATAAGTGGTTAATTATTTCAAGAACTTCTTATAATGCTTCCTATGAGCTGTAAATAAATCTAATACTCCGTAATATGTTCAGAATAATCTTAGGGATTGATTTAATTTACTTGCCCGTGTCTTGTCATTCTCTCATGCATCTTATGAAAATGCAGTGTTGATAAAAGCAAAACTACGGAATGCTGGATTTCCATTAAGACACTGGATGTCAAATGCCATTCCAGTCAGATTGATGAAAAGGACAATGTCTTGTGCTCATCGAAAACATTCTTGGGAGATTCTGCTTGCCTCTATAGCAATGGAGAAATTTGTAATACTAATTATAATAGTTTTGTCATGGAGCAGTCCTTTCGGTTGCATTACAAAGCTTGCAATAGTTCAGAAATGATTTCACGTGAATACGAGTTATGCTTGAGTGGTCTTGATGTTCACTGCTACCCTTTCATTATTGGGAATTTGACTGTATTTTTTGATAAAATATCTGAAGCATATACCAGAGTTGAAAATACTGCCAGAGCAAACAATGAAATATCTCTTTCAAGCTCCTATTTTCCTTGTGAAGAATTTATTGCCTCAAGCTTCTGTTCTACTTATTCAAAATGGGATCCATTGAAGCAGTCTCCTTTTATTATCATGAAAAAACCTTGCTCTATTTACAATCCTGGGAGTCCACTTATCTTTTCCTCCACTGAGCAGAGGAAGCTTCCGGATCTAAGTGACCATAATATCTGGAGTTCTGTATTTAACTCTAGCAAGAGATCTAATGAGCAGAGTATATTTGCATCTAATCCATCCTATCAATGTATTGATGACACTTCGATGCACACCATTAATTTAGATCTTCACGATATCAAAATCCACTTTCATGATTCCTGTAGCATTGTTGGAAGTGTTTCTTTACCTAATGCTCGGTCAGCATTTTCCATTACTGAACAATTTTTAGATGTTGTTTGTTCTACCGAAGGATTAATCCTCTCTTCATTATGGTGGCCTCAGCAGACCTGTGATTTTCTTTGGGGTCCGTTGACTCCTACTGTTTCTCCAATTCTCAAGTTTTGCATGAGGAAAGAAACTGCTAAATCAAGGGAATCTCTCCTGGAACTGAGCTTTGGCATCCAGAATGTGTCTTGTGTTCTACCTCCAGAATTTCTTGCAGTCATAATAGGTTACTTTTCACTACCCGATTGGAGCCCCACCCCGAGGAAACCACCTATAGTTGAAAATTCCAACCATATTGACTTGGTAGCCAATACATCATCCATCACATATAATTTTGAGATTTTAGAGTCAATTTTGTTTGTACCTGTAGGACTGGATGGGTACCAACATCTAAAACTAGATATTCCACAGCTGTGTGGTAGTTTTATTGGAAATGTAGATATTGAGTTTGCCCTTAAGAATATTCCATCAGAATGTTTGGTCAATGCTGATGATCTTGCTCATAGAAACCATTGCTTAAACTTGTTTGGGCATGACCTGTCCCTTTCACTATTAGTAATAAAAGATATGCCTCCTTGCTCTGTCTCATCCCATATTGTCATGAAAAGGCACATTACCTTAATTTCCCCCCTAACAGCTAAATTATGGATAAGAATACCATCTCAGTGTGAGCCTCCTGCAGCGGTAGCTTCTTGTCCGATATCCATCACGGCTATGGTGAATGATTGTCAACTTGCAGGTGAAGGTGGTAGCAACTTTTTATTCTGTTCTGATTGATCACAACTCAACCTTCTCTATCATTGATTATATTTGACCTTTTCTACAGGTGTTTCAGTACTAGTTGCATATGAAGCGTTGGTGGATATCATAAACCAGTTCTCCTTGACTGAGAAACGATCCAAAGCATATAACTCAAATACTTCTCAGTTTCTTGAATTTGAGAGACGACTGAGGGAAGATAATGCATCTCCACCTGCTTCCTCATCGGAAAACTTAATGATTGTCAGTGCATGTGTGAAGTCAATGTCTTTGAGACTGCATCATACAAAAGGAGATTCAGTCACTTCTGATATTATTGCAGAGGCTAATTTGCAGTTTACTTGCTCGGCTTTGTTTAGAAATGACGAACTTCTATGCCTAAAGATTTCATTTTCTGCCCTATCGCTATTTTCATTTCTGAATTCTGTTATGCTGTTTGAATGCACTCCGCATTCTAGTTTTCCTGCTTTAAAGTTGACTTATTCAATATCAAAAGAAAATGAATGTAGCCTTCTCCTTTACATTCCTTCTGTAGATGTTTGGCTTCATACATTTGATTGGAGTGAGTTGGTTGACTTGGTTCATTCTTGTGTTGGAGAACACCCTGCATCTCATACTTTGAGCATCTCTCCAGAGAATCTTACTTTTGTTCCTATAGATGAAGTTGGCACCAAGGGAATTGATACATCAAGAAATTGTCATAGGATTCCAAGCAGTCCAACATGTCTCGATTCTAAAAGTGTGAATCCTTCTGCCCGATTGTTTAGGATTGAGCTGGAAATTGCTGGTGCAACAGTTCATATTCCAGTTTGGCTGAGAAATGATGCATTCAATGTGTTTGAAGGAAACCACGATGATCCTCTGAATGACTTGCAAATCATGATTTATGGAAATCAACATGGCTTTATTGCAGTTACATTGCAAAGAGGAACTGCGACACTGGTTCAGCATGGGAAGAGTATGAGGCTTGAAATCTCTTTGGATCAAATAAAGGGGTCAGTGGAGCTCCATGGGGAAGATGAGTTGCATAATTTTCCTGTTTTTCAATTGTTTCAAGTCAATTTGGATGCTGACATTTCATCTTGTCTAGTGGATGATATCCGTGGGAGATTGGATTTTCAATGTGATAATCTGGATGTGTGGCTTTCGGATCACATGTTTTATTTCTGGTGTTTAGGGAAATTTCAAAATCAAGCTGCTGGAACTTCTCAATTCATTATCAGTTGCATGGATTCTAAAGTCCACTTAAGGAAGGCATCTCTTATTGTAACTAATGGAAAGGTACTCTTTGTGTTTGAATTTCTTTATTATCTTTTTGACATATGAGGTCTTCTATATGCTGACTATGCAACTGTTTATCTTCACGTAACTACTCTCATACCTCTAGCTTATGTGTAGATTTCACACAAATAGTGTGTGAATACTAGATATATTTACTTATTTAGGACAATTCGACCTTCATTCTGAGCTCTTTCATAGTTTAATTTTGAAAGGCATTGTCTTCTAATAGAGCTAAGACCTTTATAAACTTATAACATTGAAAGTATTTTCAGCTTTGTGTACTAAACACATCTCTTCACTAACAGGCTAAGCTTTTAATTAATGCAGAAGACATTGTTTAATTTTTAAATGGCATTATAAAAAGACAAAGGTCTTATCGGTTTTATCAAAATATTTCCATGTGTTTGGCTTACAAGAAATATTCTGCGTGTCATGAGGTGTTTGGATTTTAATTTTTTATATGATCTTTCTCAAACAAAACTACTTTCGAGTAGGGGCAAGGTCTTCGTACACACACCCTCCCTGGACCCTACTTTCGTGGGATCATACTGGGTTGTTGTTGTTCTCAAACAAAATTTAGTATAAACGATAACATTTCTTTTTTCAACTCCATTACTATTACTTTGTTAAACAACAACTAGAGACGGTGTACACAAACCTTACCCATACCGTCGTGGTTCTTTCAGGATGGTTTCTTGCTCACAAGAACGAGGAACAAAGGCAATATATTAAAACAATCTCATAAATACTTCATCCGTTTAAGTGTTTTTGTCCACTTTTCCTTTTTGGCACGTCCAACTATTTTTTTCCACTAACCTTTTTTAGTAAACTCAAAGTGCTCACTTAAGTTTTAGTTCTCCTTATTTCTCCCTCAGACAATTACTCTCACCAGCCCACCTCTGCTGACAAAGAAGGCGACATCACCGGCAACGCTTGCATTCGGAGCATTATTATTTTTCTTCTTTGCTCCAATCCATCTCCTCCAGCACCATCCCATCCATTTCCTTTGGTTTCTCGGTATTGAATTTAGAACCAATTAAGGCCGATCAGGATCTGAATTTGACGGATTTCCGAAAGGATTTGGCTGATTCCTACCGAATTTCCAAATTTTGGGCTGGACATCTGCTGATAGTCCAGCTAGATGTGAGGGTCAAGAATGACCTGGATGTCACCTCTGGTGACAGACATGGGTGCAAATAGATGAGGAGGGAAATTGAGAGCCATAAGTGGATCAAGCTGAGGGGTCAAGAGGTGAAGGGGAATAGGGGGAGAGAAAAGTCCGGGATGGAGATAGAGAAGGAAATGAAGCCAGTCTGCAGATCCAGAGACCTTGTTCGATGATCTGAGTTGCTGGCGGCGACAGTGGCGAGAGTTTAAGGTAGGGGCTTGGGTTTTAGGAGGAATCTAGGTATAGTGTCATCATCCAGAAACTCCATGGTCAAAACCAAGGAATACTTTGTAGGAAAATAATAGGAAGAACAAATCAAATGCAGATCTGTTTATAAAATACTCTGTTTATATACTCCAGATCTGATTTTTTATTGTGAACTACATTCAGGAATTCTATGTTCCTGGATTATTTATAGACATCAACCAACACAACTTTTGGTACTAATCAACACATCTATTACTAACTAATGCAACTTTTAGAAATAACTACCTATAACTTCTAGAAATAACTACCCATAACTGCCCCTTTTATTTTTAAAATTTAAATCTAAACTAACTAACTTCTAACCAGGAATTAAACAATACGATTAAATCTAACAATCACCCCCCTAATCGTTGTTTGTTCACACCAATCTTCACAATAGTGTTGGTTCATCATCATCTTCAATCAAATTTGCAATGTCTTCCTTTTGATCCCATTTTGGACATTCGTTCAAAAAATGTCCTAACTCATTGCACTTGAAACACTTAATGTGACTCTTATCCCGCTGAAACCGACCACCATCATGACCTTTCCCGGACCCCCGACCTCTACCTCGGCCACGTCCAAAGTCTTCTCGGTTCGAGCTCCAGCAACCACAATGCTCACATTTGTGCTCCTGAACCTTCTCTTTTCCATCGCCTTTTGTGAATAATAGTTTACCATGTGTATCTCCTTCCTCAATTGGCTTTCTGATGCGTTCCTCGAATGCTTTCAATCTTCCCACCGCTTCTTGAAACGGCATTGTGTTAATGTCAGCAAACTGTTCAATTGCAGGAACGATCTGTATGAACTTGTTAGGCACAGAACCCAAAAGCTTTCGAACCAATCTTTTGTCTTCAAATGCAGACCCAAGGTTGTTTGCTTGTGTTGCAAGTTGACTAATTTTACCAGCAAACTCATCAAGTGACTCATTGTTCTTCATCTTTAAAGTCTCAAAATCTAATTCAAGTGTCTGTAATCGTGCCGCTTTAACCCTGTCAACACCAACGAAGCGAGTCTTCAAAGCATCCCAAATTTCTTTTGCTTTAGTAAACTGAGCAACTTGTAGTACGATCTCTTCCGGAAAAGCTTGAAACAGATATGCTATTGCCATATTGTTCTTCTTTGGATCAATTTCTGTTCCTGGTTCGATCACCTCCCAAATCCCATTAACATTAAAAATTGCTTTGATCTTCACGGCCCAAATAGTGTAGTTTGTAGCAGTAAGAATTGGAACCGTAAAAGATAGTGAACTATTCTCCCTTGTAGTTACAATCGGTCTATTGTCTTCCATTGCACGACTTTAATTCCTATGACAATTTTCACGAAATTCTTAGACTTTGATTCCTTCCTGGGTCGTAAGCCACCTGCAATCGACCATCAACCAGAAGACAAGCCGCTGCTTTTCCGTCTTCCAAGCCACTAAACGAAAGCTACCCTGCTGATTCGTTTTTCCCGGACTGTTTGGTTGGAATGCTTCTGCCAAAGGAAAAAAAACTAGCAACTTGCTATTCTTGTCCTAGGCGAGGAAGAATCTTGTCGAAGATTCTTGTTCTGTTGTCAAGGAAGTCTCTAATGCTCCGTTATACGATCTGGCAGACCTCTCTTTTCTTGCCACTGATCGCACACGCTCTGATACCAATTGTAGGAAAATAATAGGAAGAACAAATCAAATGCAGATCTGTTTATAAAATACTCTGTTTATATACTCCAGATCTGATTTTTTATTGTGAACTACATTCAGGAATTCTATGTTCCTGGATTAATTATAGACATCAACCAACACAACTTTTGGTACTAATCAACACATCTATTACTAACTAATGCAACTTTTAGAAATAACTACCTATAACTTCTACAAATAACTACCCATAACTGCCCCTTTTATTTTTAAAATTTAAATATAAACTAACTAACTTCTAACCAGGAATTAAACAATACGATTAAATCTAACATACTTTTTACATTTCCTCATCATTTCGTTCTTCTCTTGGTATTTGTGCAAAATAGAAACCGGACAAAAAGATTGGGACAGAGGGAATAAAAGCATAAGTGAAATAGAAACAAGAAAAAAGATAATTAAACACCAAATGCGGAAAACGGTAAAAGCCCTACACTCAACCTAGCTACGTAGAGGGAAACCCGATTGAAAACCCACCTATGACCTGACCTACCAATCTAGTACTCGACCTCCTTACTCTGCTATTATTTGTCATGTCTGGGGTGAGTCGCATGAGCCAAGGTTTTGAAGGGCCAAACTAGCCTCGAGGCGGTGGAGCAAAATGCCTTGAGGCGTAAGCCTCGAGGCGGAACGAGGCGTAAGCCTCAGCTCAATATGAAAAAAATAATACTAAAATATGTACACCGAGGTATAACGAAATGCATAATCCATTTTCATGTTAAATAAATTATAAAATCATAATTCTTGAATTCTACAAAAAATGATACCCTATCTTAAATTTTAAAACACAGATAAAAAATAGAATTCTAAAGATTAAACACAGTAACATAAACACAAATGTCTCAAACCCATCTTCAAACCTTACAAATATTAAATATGGACAAAAGTTCACGCAAAAAAAGTTACATCATTCTTTGAAGTTTGAACCAAATTTAAAAGAGGGAGAGGGATGTTGGAAAAGAAGGAGCCGGAAAAATTAAAAGCTGAAAGAAGAAGATGAAAGAAATAGAAGATAAGCCATTAAATATGAAGTAATTGCCTTAGCGGTTACCACAAGAGTGAAGTTGTGCCACTGAAGTCTGAAGATGGAGAGAGGTACGGTTGAAGATGGAGAGACGAAAGTTGACGCTAGGTCTTGGAAAGAAGTGATAATTATCTACTAGGTTTATTAAGTTTTTCTTAAGAAACTTTATAATGCATTGGCCCAAAAGAGTTTTTGTAAAAGTGGCCCAATAGATTTTTAAAAATAACCCTTATAATTGTTGAAATTCTTATTAAAAGTGAGGCTTACGCCTTGGTTACGCCTTACCGCCTCAGACCGCCTCAACATTGTGAGGCGTACGCCTGAGGTATCCCTACTGAGGCTTAAGCCTCAGAGGCGAAATGCAACCGCCTTACCGCCTCACCGCCTCGAGGCGGACCGTCTTGGTCGCCTTTTAAAACCATGCCATAAGCCTCAAGTCTTGTCTAATCACCTCACTCCAGTTTTTTCTCAGTCTACCTCTAGCCAAATTGTTTGCTTCCAAACTCTCACCTTTCCCAAACATTCATAAATTTTCTCACATGTCCTCGTTCATAATCCTATCAGTCCTAGCATAACAGCTCATAAGTCTAGCTTCATCCGCCCACACTGATACGGTGAGCTACATCACCATCAAACTCTCAATCATCTTGGATTATTTAAGGTATTGTAAGCTATCGCTTTTGGGAACTGGTTTTGAATCAATTATCACATCCATTCCCAATTCTTGAGGCACACACACCACTGAAGCAGAACTCTCTTTGTCATGCTGAGTCTGAACCCCTTAGAGTCCAAGGCCTGCCTTCAAACCTCCAACCTATCATTAACTCTTGTGGGATTTGTTGATTTATATGATATCATCTGCAAATAACATGCACTATGGAACTTCACCCTCACCCTGTTAAGAGCCTCCTCCACCTCCCCAATGTACTCCAAGTCTAAAACACTTTCTAACCTCGGAGGTTCTTAGAGCTTCCTAAATCACCCAACACAGAACTCCTTTTCTCTTTTGTACCTAAGGCTTTGTTTGGTTTAGAGGGAGGAAATGGAGAGGAAGGAAAGGAAATAGGATGAACTTTTAATTTCCAAAGATAAATTTTGACGAAAGAAAAATGAGATGGAAAGAAGAAAAAAGTGAAGTTAAATGACAATTTTGTCAAAGTATTAGGTTAGAAATTGTCTAATAATCAGGGTAATATAGGAAATATAAAAAGTTGAGTAGTTTTCCTAATTTTAGGGGGCCATGGTCATTATTTGTATGAGTACTATTTCAACATGATGAATTTAGGATGTGGTAAGAATAACTGGATTGGGTAATAAGACACTTGGGCTAAAGTGCTAAACCACATTAAAAGATTGAATCCAATCTGTTACTTAGTTCAAGTCAAGAGCTTATATACCGGTTTATTCTCTTCAAGGTCCGATGTGGGATACTCTTTAACACTCCCCTTCAAGTGGACAACCGGGCCATTTTGAATCTAACCGGTTGACCACTTGCAAATGGACTCCCATCCCCTTCATTTTGTTTTGAGCGCCAACACCTAAAGACTTCCTGACGTGCAATTGGGTTAAACGGGCCACATGCCATTGGATACATACTTCATACGGATAACTGGGCTAAAGACTAATGGGCCGCTAGGAATGGACGTCTAGACGGACACCTTGACAAATGAGGTGGGCCAAAACCTGCTCTGATACCATGATAAATTTAGGATGGGGTAAGAATAACTGGATTGGGTAATAAGACACTTGGGCTAAACCACATTAAAAAACTGAATCCAATCTGTTACTTCAACTCAAGAACTTATATACTGGTTTATTTTCTCTTCAAGTTCCGATGTGGGATACTCTTTAACAAAACACTCCTTAATTTTCCATTCTATCAATCAAGAGAAAATGTTACTTTTCCTCTTAATTTTCTTCCATCCCCTTTCTTTCCTTCCATTTTCCCTTCAAACAAACAGGGCCTATGAGTCTATGAAGGTAGGACTGCCATCTACCTCCAACATCCTTTATGCATCTTACTTGATCAAGATTGTGAGCCTTCTGCTCTCACCTATGCCAACCAAAACAACCTCTTCTCACCTCCTTTCTCTTCCAGATTCTTGTGCATCTTCTCTAAAGCTGCAGTTTTTTCTGTTGTAACTGCTAACTTACTATCTTCCTCACAGTCTGGTACTTCTAACGGTTAACTCTTCTTTCCTCCTCACTATTCTCCACAAGTGTCATGTATGCCGTTACTATTACTCTGTTTACTGCTATATTTCACTTGACTAGGCACAAATCATCTCAAAAGTCCTGTTAGCAATTATGCACACATCTGAACCTATTTCATTTGTTAATTGCATTTATGGTATTTATCATGTGAATGTGTATTACTTTCTAAGCATCCTTCAAAATGTTACTGAGGCCAGTTTTTGATATTTAAAAAGAAACATAAGCCAATAAAGTTGGAAGAAAAAAGCTGTTCTAGTATCATTTGTTGATCTTTTGCTCACCTTTCTGGATGTTCCTTGAAACAAGTTTGATGTACATATATCTCCTTTTACTTTTACAAACTAGATATTCGGAGAAGACATGGCATTCTTCTATATCTTTCAAGTTATGCTTATTCAACTTATTTATGTTTTTATAGTTGAGTTCTGCTGGGCCTCTGCTGGAGTTTCTGATCCGCAACTTACTACTTCACTCAAGGTTAAATGAAAAAGACATTGAGGCTTCAGTTGAGGGTGACATACAAGCCAACTATAATAATATTGACAAGGTAATGTAGAGTTCTTAATGTATGTGTGTTTTTTATTTTTTTCCTTTAATCACAAATAAATACTTTATTTGGGGGGGTTTTGTCAGGTTTTCTGGGAACCATTTATAGAGCTATGGAGTTTCAATCTATTCTTAAGCAGAATACATGACAAGACTTCTCTTATTACTGAAGCTGCAACTGAAATTCGTGTTGAATCTACTTCTCAGCTTAACTTGAACATCACTGAATCCTTTATTGAGGTACATATTGTTTAATCCTTGCAGAAAATATTCTCCGTCAACAGGAATGGTCTCTTGGTGCATTATAGCAGTCACTTATATATGCCTTTAAATGTAAGAAGGATTGACAGGTCTGGATTCGGCATTTATGATATTTTATGCAAATACTCTGTAAGATCTGGGGGTCTCATGGAAACTGCCTCTCTACTCCTGGGTAGGGGCAAGGTCAACGTACTCACACCCTCCCCAGACCCTGTTAGAGTGTCATCCCACATCGGAAGTTCAAGAGTAAAATAATCGGTATATAAGCTCTTGAGTTGAACTAACTAATCGATTGAATTCAATCTTTTAATGTGGTTCAGCCCAAGTGTCTTATTGCCCAATCCAGTTGTCCATACCCATCCTAAAATTCTATCATGGTATCAAAGCCTTGATGACCAAGAGGTCACGAGTTCGAAACTCAGCGCCACCCAGTTTAAAAAAAATTAAGGTTTCACGTGCAAGGCTCGAAAAAGACTACGCCTGCACGTGAGGGGGCGTGTTAGAATATACATAGCTGTTCCTGGCCACAACCACAAGCTTGAGCTTTTGGTTGAGTTGGTTCCTTGACATGGTATGAGAGCAGGTTTTGGCCCACCTCGTTTGTGAAGGTGTCCGTCTAGACGTTCATTCCTAGCGGCCCGTTAGTCTTTAGCCCAGTTGTCCGTATGGAGCATGTACCCAACGGCCTGTGGCCCGTTTAACACGATTGCTTGTCTCGAAGTCCATACCCAGCGGCTCGTAGTCCTTTAGGTGTTGGTGCTCAAAAAAAATCAAAGGAATTGGAGTTTATTTGCAAGTGGTCAACCGGTTAGATTCAAAATGGCCCAGTTGTCCACTTGAGGGGGATGTTAGAGTGTCATCCCACATCGGAAGTTCAAGAGCAAAATAATCGGTATATAAGCTCTTGAGTTGAACTAACTAATCGATTGAATTCAATCTTTTAATGTGGTTCAGCCCAAATGTCTTATTGCCAATCCAGTTGTCCATACCCATCCTAAAATTCTATCAGGATCCAACTGGGTTGTTAATGTATGCAAATACTCTGTAACTCATTTCAAATAATAGTACTCCATATAAAACTGGGAAGTTCATGGACACTTTAAGCATTGTAATTGAATTAATGTCCTGTTTTGTGACATTACAGGCTACAACACAAAGGAGCTATGAAAAAAATCATATGATTTAAATTTTTTTAATCTAAACATTCTAAAGTTACATTAGCCCCCATTTCCAATAGAGCTAAAAGAGTCATTTTTATAATGTTTTAGTTTAGCGTAAGTAGTGGACTATTAATTAAAATGGCACATTAAACTTCCCTTGCTCCATACATTTTGTGAAATTTTGGTAGTACACCTATAATCATTAAAATTTGTATGCCCAAGCCCGGCCCAGCTTGATCCCACCAACAAAAAAAATTGTGTCCATGGTCCGACCCAAGCCCGCCCAGAATATGGTAACATAGATATGAGAATGTATTTTTAAATGCATATGTATGAAAATATTAAAATTTGGAATAAATCAAAAAGGAGAAAATTATAAGCTAATGTAAAAAAGTGTAATGCAAAAAGTAGTTCTAGCATAAATTTTACCTAAATAATTGGTTATGCCTCATAAATAGTCACACATTTCACATGCATATAATATTGTGCTCCATATATCGTTACAGTCGTAGATTTGGGCCGGGACTTGGCTTAGAATGTTTGTTTAAAGCGCCACCCATTTATTAAATGAGCTTTTCTTTTTGTCCAATGCCTGGCTTTTGAGCCTTAGTTTTTTGTCAAATCCCGCTTAGAGAAAGGTGGGGCCTTTGGGATTGGACGGGTAGCCCCACCCATGTCCACCTCCAATAAGTTTGCGTACAACTTCACCCTCTCCACCCCAGACCCTAATGGTGTTGGGATTATATTTTCTTTGTTTATGAATTTGTTGCCTGATGTTCCAATATACATTTGGTCGAAGTAATTTAGAGTATTTGTCCCTGCCTTCTAGATTTTTTTCCAATGTGGATATAAAATGTAGTGGAATCTTCCCCGTCTTCTTCCATAATTTTGTTCAAGATATTTAACTTAAGTAGCAACAGTATTACAGTAGCATAAGACAAACTCATAGGGTATCTTTCTTGAGATCTGTCAATTTTTAGCTCAAAACTATCACTTCAAAGCCTCCCAAAATGCTTTTTTTTCACATTGTTTTTAGACCGAAGTATTACTCTTCGTTTTAGTTGAAAAGTTGTATATCTCATGGAGTTAGTTTCGTGATACTGTCCCATGCAAGCTTTTATGTGACTCGTAACATTTCTCTCTTCTAAATATATTCCAATCACACACTTTCTGCTTTTCAACTCTTTTTAAACTCTTTGAACTCAAAAAGTAAACTTCACTATGGACTTGAGGGAGTATATTTTGAAAAGTCTGTCTGAAGTGGTTGACATGTTGTAATGTCGTTATTGAAGGTTATTTCTAGGACAGTTGAGGTGATTAAAGATGCTTGGGACACCATTGAGATGAGTACTAGTTCAGAAAGCTTGAGCTTAAATGATTATCGTTTAAGTGCAAATCTGCATGGCAGAAGGCATGCTCCATATGTACTGCAGAATTTGACCTCGTTGCCCATATTTTTTGACGTACATACTGGGGAAAATGTCAGCAATACTCTGGGATTATCATTGACAAAAAGTGGAAAGGTTTTGCAACCTGGCTTTTCTGTACCTATTGATGTGGAAGATACTCCAGACAAACTTGTACACTATAACTACATTCAGTGCCCAGATAGACTTCGTGAGAGACAATCATCTAGTGCAGCACATCATTTTATCTCTTTTCAACTTGAGGGAACATCAATGCCATCCGGTCCTTTCTCAATGGATCTTGTAGGCATGAGGTGCTTTGAGGTGGATTTTTCAAAAACCTCGAGTGAAACTGGTTCAATTACAAATGGGGATGCCTTGAAAATATGTTCAACAGTTGAAGGCGAAGCTAGCACAGAATCAAAAGATGGATTTATTGTTCCTGTGGTCATCGATGTATCCATACGGCCTTATACAAAGATAGTGCGATTGTACTCAACGGTATACACAATTACCAGAAAATAGTTTCTATATAAATTTTTTCTTGATCTGCTTTATGATGCCTCTGAAATATATATGGTCAGGTGTTACTGTCCAATGCAACTTCTGTGCCACTTGAAGTACGGTTAGATATTCCATTTAGTGTATCTCCAAAGGTACCATGATGGAAAGAAAAAAGGATGTTCCATTGCCCCATTCTGTATTATATGCAATTTTATATTTTTGCCGTTTTGCTTGTAAGGATACGTGTCGTTTCAATTTCAGATTCTGGACCCAATATATCCTGGTCAGCAATGTCCTCTTCCTCTACATTTGGCTGAAGCAGGGCTAATGAGATGGCGTCCTGTTGGAAGTGCTTACTTGTGGAGTGAAGCATATAATATTCAGAATATACTTTCACATGAGAACAGACTCAGCATCTTGCGTTCCTTTGTTTGCTATCCATCTCATCCAAGCAGTGATCCATTCCGTTGTTGCATCTCTGTTTGTGATTGGAGCTTACCTTCAGTTGGACCACTTAAGATGGATGTATTACATTCCAAATGTGATGTACTTGGAACTTCTGAAACATTTAATGAATTATCACACAATACGTTAAGATCAAAAAAGAGGTATATCCATAGAATGACTCTAAGCAGCCCTCTAGTTTTGAAAAATTATCTTCCAGAGTCTGTATCAATCACGATAGAAAATGGTGGTGTTACAAGTTCTGCGTTACTGTCAGAGGTTTGCATCATTTTTAGCAAGGAAGATTTAAGACAATCTTTTTCCTGTTTTTTTACTTTTTTCTGTGCTGATAGACTAATCATTTTCAGGTGGAAAATTCTTTTTTTCATATTGATTCCTCACATGACCTGACAATTACGTTCCACTTGTGTGGATTCAACCCTTCAAGTATAAAATTTCCACGTGCTGAAACATTTGTAGAGACAGCTAAGTGCACTGGCACAATATTTTCTACGTGGGATACAGTCACCTTTGATTCTATATCAAGTTGTGGTAATTTCTATTTGCTTACAGATATCTTACAGAGTAGCAAATTTGTTTTTATTTGTTACATTTTCCTTCTTTTGTAGGTCCTTTATGTGTTACTGTTGAGAAGCTAATGGATGCATTCTCTGGAGCCCGTGAACTGTGCATTTCAGTTCCATTTCTTCTTTATAATTGCACGTGGTTGCCACTTGTTGTATCCAATGCTGTCAATGAGACAAAAGGACATTACTGCATTGTTCCTTCATGTTATGCTTTGGATGAGAAAGACCTTGTCCCTAGCAAGAAGGATGGACTTGGTCTCTTATCACCTGATCTTGATTCTGATATAGCTCCTCTAGACAATAGGTTGCCTATATCGGTAGACAGTCACCCTATTACAAATTCAAATGAAAACAGATCTGAAAAACATTCCTGGCCATTTCTCTCATCTACAGTTGTGCATCAGTATTCACATACTCATAGTATGTATAGCCAAAAGTCTTCAACTTTAAAGAGTTGGTCAGGACCAAGCAGCCAATCGAGTTTGAGGTCTTCTGATTTGTTGGAAAATGAAAGTGACAAGGTTAACTGCTGCATGTTTTCTCCTGATTCAAGTTTCTCTTCAGATGAAACTGTAGTAAAGGTTTGTAGATTCCTATCTCCTTGCATAACAAATCATGCCCCCTACTCTCATTGGTCAAATGCTTTTTCCCTTGTTCCGCCTACTGGTTCAACTTCTGTTATTGTCCCACAACCATCCAAGACTTCTGGCTATATAATGTCTGTTAGTGCTACTGCTGCACCATTCTCTGGGAGGACAAAGATTATCTCTTTTCAACCCAGGTACACTCTTGAGAGTTGAAACCATTATGCTGTGTAAAATACTATTATTTAAAAAAAAAGAAACTACTTTGTAAGCTTATTTTAGAATTTCATGCATGCATCAAGTAGCATGCCAGCACTTATTTACCTTATTGATCATTTCTATCAAGAAGTTGCCCATAAATCACTGTAATTCTGCAGATACGTGATCAGTAATGCATGCAATAAGGATGTGTGCTACAGGCAAAAGGGAACCAATGATATTTTCTTCTTAGAGGCTGGAAAACATTCTCATATTCAATGGATTGATACAACAAGGTGTAATACCTTATACTGTTTTACTCATATCGTGTTGTGTCCTTGGTGAATTATTTCCCCCCGTTTTGGGGGTATCATCATTCCGTATATATTTTATTTATTGAAAGAGTCCCCCCGGCATAGCTCAACAATGAAGACCCAGAGTGGTGTTGTGCCTGCCAATCTGGTTGGCAGTCCACGGAGTGGGGGTCTGATTCCCAACAAAGGTTGTGGAATTGGCTCCCTCTTAAGTCTTATGAAGGAAATATGTAAATGTAAACAAGGAAGCAATGTTCTCTGTACATAAACTGAGAAATATGAAATGAAAACCGCATGAGCAAAATAAGTAAATGCAAACGAGGACGCAATGTTCTATGTACATAAACTGAGAAATAAGAAATGAAAAACTTAGAGTCAGTGCACAAAACAAAACATGCCATTCTTTGTCAAACTAAGCCTAAATGCTTTCAATAATACCATCATTCTACAGAGGCCCTAAAAACTACATTTGAAACCGTTCTCTCAGATCTGGCTGTCTTGAAAGTAGAGTTGCTTCCAAATTGCACTGCAGTTAATGTTGCTATCAACATTGTAAATCCCCATTTGGCAATACTTTTTCCCCATATTCCAATGTGATCTTTAATCTCAGCCATTAAGGTATCATCCACCCCAATCCCCATCGCCACACCACACCACAAAAAGAATCATCCGACTGATTTTTTCCTGGAAAAAATATATTATGGTCTACTTAAGGCACAATTTAATCTTGGTGAAGTAAATATATGATAATCCTATTAAGCCTATTTATTTTTTATCAGGCATTGCTTATCAACTACTTGTATGAGATTACTAAGCACCATGTGACAACTAGTGAAGCAAACTTAGATTTTTAATTCCTAATTTGTTATTTATTTTTAAAAGTTTATTTATTTGAAACTTTCTGAATTTAAAACTGTCATATTTTTAAACTACTCTATCCGTCCCTAAATAACCTGCTTTCCTTTTTTGGATGTCCCAAAACAATATTAACTTTCCTTAAAAAGAAAGAACTATGGGGCTAAAAAAGATTCTCTCATGAGAAACTAACTAGTCCTTTTCACTTTTCAACACTTTTCTTTAACTTCGTGAAAGTCAAAAAAGGCAATAATTCAGGGACAGAGGGAGAATGAATTTTTAAATGTGTTTTTTATTTATACGGAGTATATTTTAGTAAACATCCAAGAGTCATGTTGGGGACGTAAAAAAAATCATGTTGAGATTTTTTTCCCTCTCCCAAAATCTAGTAGAATCTTCATTTTTACACTTCGTGCTTCTTTGTCTATTGTCTTTCAATGCGGCTATTATTTGTTATCTTATCTGCTTCCTGTAATAGTCAGAATCTTGCTTCCAACATTTTTCCAGGGAATTACTACTTTCAGTTCGGTTCGTTGAACCTGGATGGCAATGGTCAGGATGCTTCTTGCCTGAACATTTAGGGGATACTCAGGTGAAAATGAGAAACTTTGTTTCTGGCGCTGTTAATATGATTCGTGTAGAAGTGCAAAGTGCCGATTTCTCCATTAGAGATGAAAAGATTGTTGGAAGCCCTCAGGGTAACTCTGGGACAAACCTTGTTCTTTTGTCAGATGATGATACAGGCTTTATGCCATACAGAATTGATAATTTTACAAAGGAGGTTAGTTTATTATGCTTCATAGTAATGTGTGGCAAATACATTCATGCCCATGAGATCAGGAATATGTTGAATTGTTGATGCATGATAAGGGTGCAGTTTAACATAGCTTACATTTAACTTTTTATCATTCTTTTCAACTCATGACTTTTGATATCAAGTATTTCATTCATACTGTCATTTTAGTTGAGCATATTTGTTTCACAATAGCTATCACTTTTTAAATGTTTGAGACCATTTAATACAAATATCCCATTTTTTCCATTCTTCTTAATCTCAATTCTCGTTAAAAGCAATTTGTAACAGTTCCAAGAAGAGGTATCAATTAAGGGTAGTTTAGGTGTAGGCAGTACTACTTATTTTGCAAAATTTCAAAATATTTAATGAGTTTCTTAATCTATGTTCTTAACCATTAAAATGTGAAACAAAGTACAAAATAATTAAATATACATTATCATATTTACTTATTATATGATCATGTCTTTGATTAAATGTAGAGGATTCGCATTTACCAGCAAAAATGTGATGCTTTCGAAACAATGATTCACTCTTACAGTTCTTGCCCTTATGCTTGGGATGAACCATGTTACCCACACCGTTTAACTATTGAGGTATAATTATCTACATTTGACTGCCAGACGGCTTCTAGTGGATGCATTTAGAGTAATTATCTTTTAAAATTGAAAGGTTCCTGGTGAACGTATCATAGGATCCTACACTCTTGATGATGTAAAGGACTATGGGCATGTTTGCTTATCTGCAACTTATGAGGTATTTTACGCTGTCTGCTGTAATATTCTGACTTTGGACTGCATATATTCAGAGTTAAACAACAAAAGAATGAAAGGAATGTGGCAACTTTTATGACATTGACACAAATTCATTTCAGTTAAATCATTAAATGACATGCAAATACTAGCACAATGATTGTAGTCCTCCCGCCAAACGTTAAGATAGTATCATGCGGAATAGCAGCGGTGACATTTGGGTCATTGCTAGGTAGTTGGAACCCTAGAAATTTAAACCGATATAAATTGTCATCTTCATTAAGCATTATTTTAACTTTTAAGTACTTTCTCCGTCCGGCATAGGTCTTCCCATCACGCGTTACAAGGTTTGACCGACTTTATTTTCAAATCAATTTATTTGATTGTAAGCGTGAAATTAAAAAATAAAATTTATATTGTTAAAAAACTACATAAAAATTTCTACAAAACAAGAGGTGACATGACTATGTTAGTATGTTTTATAAAATGTGTTGTGAAAATAAGCAAGCAATGCGAGTAAAGTTTGACCCTATGAATAGTGTATGGGAAGATCGATGCAGGATGGAGGGAGTAAGAATTAAAGGCACGTATGTGAAGCACTATGATATTCATATACACCATGTCACCATTAGACTACGGTAAGTGTTTTTATACACATGCACATTCTCTCTCTCTCTCTCTCACTCTCTCTCTCAGTCTTCGTCCCATAAAAAGGTTTCACATATCCTTCTTCGTTTCTCCTAAAAAAGGTTTCACTTTCCACTTTTGATATAATTTTTCTAATCTACACCACTTTCAACCCTACAATTTCACTTTTCTTAATCTCCGTGCCAAGTCAACCGTGGAACCTTTTTACGAGATTGATGGAGTACTATGTACGAGTATATAGTACTAGTATTCAGCAAGAAGTCTTTATCGTTCATTATTATTATTATTATTATTATTATCATTTGAATCTTTTTTCTTATTCCTTCCATCCCGAAATAAAAGTTAACTTTGATCGGACCGAGAGTTTTAGAGAACTTTGGTTGAAATTGATTTGAAATGGCCACATATTCCTTACCCAAAAAGGAAATGGACTTTTATTTTGGGATGGTCCAACAATGAAACTGTGCAGTTTATTCTGGGCAGAGGGAGTACTATCTAAGATTGTTTCATTTGTTAAGCTGTAGCATTCTCATTCATTTTGCAGAAACCTGAAAGAACTCTGTGCATTTCTGTTTGTTCTGAAGGAGCAACTAAGGTGCATATTAAGGAGTATATGATTTTGGGTTTATTAATACTTCTTTTTTTCTCTGTAATGTGATACATTTCCATTTTGTTCATGATAAGGTTCTCCGCATCATCGACTCAAGTTGCCATGATTTAAATGATTCAAGGGGCCTGCATTTTACACAGTTGAAAGATAAAGGAAAACATGACCGGAAGCCTGAATCTGCTACTCATTTCAATGATAGGATAGTGGTTGATATTCCTTTTGTTGGAATCTCCTTGATAAATTCTTTGCCAGAGGTACCGAAACTTGATATGCAGAACAGTACAACCTTGTTTAAGGCAATGTTTCTTACGAGTTTCACAACAATGAATTTTTAGGTGCCAAAAATGACCCTCGGCATCTTGTATTTTATTCTGTAGGAGTTGCTTTTCGCTTGTGCAAGGAACATTACCATTGTTTTCAAGCAGTCTCTGGATCAACAAAAGGTGTCCTTGCAGATTATGTCGTTACAGATCGATAACCAGTTGCCTACTACTCCTTACCCAGTCATCCTCTCTTTGGATCATAGGACTGGCGTTACCAGTAGTAGAGCTATGAGAGAAACAACTCCTGAGAGCCAAGAACCTGCATTCTCCATGGAAGTAGCAACGTGGAGGAACAAATATCTTTCGTTGGTTTCATTTGAATATATTGGCCTAAGGTCTGTTTTATGCACAAATGACTTTAAGTTTATGCTAGTTGTATCATTCTTTGACGTCTCTACATTCTTTGTACTTTACTTCTAGAGTGGCTGAAGTTCATCTAGAAATTGATCAAGAAGTGGTTCTGAGATTGCTTGATTTCATCAAGTCTGTTTCTTCAAGGATGAAGGGAAGAGTGCTGCCCCATATGAGTCCAAGCCTCCCACTGATACTTTCAGATTTGGAATCAGATTTGTCCATGTATTCCTACTCTCTAGATTTTGAAACTCTGAAATCAAGTTCTAAACAGCAATTCACCTTGCACAGTAGCTTGTATCATGAAATTAGCAAGAGCTCTGTGCTGCCTTCAATAACTCCTATTGGTGCACCATGGCAAAAGATTCATCTTCTAGCAAGAAAGCAGAAGAAATTATATGTTGAATTGCTTGATATGTCTTCGATCAAACTGACTTTGAGGCAAGCCTTTCTTTCCACTTAATCATGTGTATTTTGTACAAATGTGAATACTTGAAAGATAAATGGGCGCAAAAGCGACGAGTTCGGGCATTTTTTTACAGCGAGCTCAGAGAGAACTCTTGCTCTCTTACATTAACTGACTCTTCACTGAAAACAAAAAAAAATAATTTTTTTAACTTTAATTGCAAAGAAACTGACATAGGACTGCTACTCATAATAATTCAGTAATATATCTATCGCATGAAGTCATATCTTCAAACAAAGCTCATAATAGTTGCTCCTGTGTGATTGTGCGATATGTCTGTTGTTTCTTCCTGCAGTTTTTCTAGCAGTCCCTGGATGCTTCAAAATGGGGTCCTTACATCTGGTGAATCTCTTATCCATGTAAGTGGTAATCAGGGTCAGTTTAAAACATACCTGACCCCTGGAGAAGTTTAATGGGTCTATAACATATTCTGTAAATCTGTAATTATCAATGGTTTGGTTGTGTTCCATTTTTAAATTGCTTTAGCATATGAAGTGTCAAAGGGCAGTATATTGTTGCTATTATTGTGATTAGAATTCTATTTTTAGAATATACTCCCTTCATCCTAAAATTATTTTTACCGTTTGACTTTTTTTCTTGGCTACACTTCACAAATTTTGATCTAGATTTGCAGAAAAAATAAATTTATTTATAATGTATATTTAATAACATTGGATTCATTTTTATATGAATTTTTGAAATATCAAAATTTTATACTCCAGTAATATTTATTTATGTATAAATATAAATATTAATGGTCAAAGTGTTGTCTTGATTGTATCAAAAATAAGTGTTGCATTGATGATCGTGAAAAGTTAAATGTAAGAGTTTATACTCATTTTGTCCCTCATTTTGGTGAGTCAAATTGGACCTTGTATGTTGCGTTGAGTCGAATTAGTCCCTGTAGCTAAAAATTGTGAATTAAGTTAGTTCCTCTAACAGAATTTATCTGAACGGTGTAACTGAAACCATGAGTGTGTTACGTGCCTTTACAAATCAAGTGTGTCAATTAACGTGTCAACTCAGCATTTCAGTACATTCCTAAGACAATTTCTGTTAGAAAGACCAATAAAATTCACATTTTTAGCTAAAAAAACAACAATGATAGGGCGCAATGGCGTCGCTTGGTCCATGTAGCTGACCCCACCTAGTGGGATAAGGCTTTGTTGTTGTTGGTTTAGCTACATTGACTAATTTCACTCAAGTTAACATATTCTGGCCAATTTGACTCACGGTATTAACTCTTAAATGTAAAGATCATTTTGGGAAGAGGGAATGATTTTCAATTTAAGCCCTGTGACACTAAGAATTGCAGAGGGGTCTAATGGCACTTGCTGATGTGGAAGGAGCCCAAATTCATCTCAAGCATCTGGTTTTGTCACATCAGCTAGCCAGCTGGGAGTCCATTCAGGAGATTCTCAGTGATCATTATAGTCGGCAGTTTCTTCATGAAATGTATAAGGTTAGTGTCACAAATTTGAATACCGAGTTTTGAAAACAAACATATTTAATCACGGATTAATTATCCCACTTCTATCCAAACTCTAAACCCAAACCTGGAAGCTTTTTTTTATATACATTCAACACTTCCTATTTTCTCGGAAATTGCCTCTACTTTTAGTAGGGGTAAGGTTGTTGTACACACCTTCCCCGGACCTACTGTTGCAGGATTCTACTGGCTTGTTGTTGTATTCAACACTTCCTATTTCATACTCAGGCTATTTACACCCTAAGACTCAATAATCAGATCCATCAATATCAACTTATCATCAGATTTCCAACAGTTATTAGTTCTGATTTCTAGGAGCCTGGTGTTTTCATACTCCTGGGTTCTCATATTGACTTGTCATGCTTATTTAGGTAAGTGATAAATGTATTTGGTATTCCTAAAATGCCCTCTCCCTAAATCCCAACCCTCACCCTCCACACTCCTCCACATTGCCTCAAGTCACGTCGCTGCCCTCACCCCCGCTAAATGCTTCGGTCATCAAATGCCGGCAACAAAAAGAGGAAAGAGAGGCAAGATACTCCAGAAGCTAACTGGACAAAAGGTTTGAAAGTGAATCAAGTTGAAGCTACTCTAAATTCTTCAAAATCATCGCCACCCCTTCTAATTCATCGCAAATCACTGCCACCCCTTCTAATTCATCGCCGCAACCTTCCTTAACAGCCACCACCGCCCCTTCTATTTTGCTACCGCACTTTCTATTTCCCCGCCGCCGCGGGATTGAGAGAAATTGGGAGGTTTGTGATGAAAAAAGGCCGAAGGAGAGAAGTGAAATGGGGGGGGTGTGTGGATTGATCTGTCAAAGATGAAGATGAAGAAGAGAGGTAGGGGGTCTATTCAAGAAGATGAAGAGGAAACGGGACGGGGGGTGAGTGTAGTAGATAGGAGTAGTATTTAGGTATACTTAGTAAGGGTAAAATAGGGATTGGCTTATATTTGAGTGCCAAATTGGCAAGTGAGAACCAGTGGGTTCATACTCATTTGAATATACATACATATATGCACAATCACACATGTATATGCTTGCTTGTTTCTTTCTCTCTCTGTCCCTTTGAAGTAGACATCATCAGCAACTCGATGAAGGGCCTTCTGGTGGGTTGGATCTGGCCCACACGCCATGCTTTAGGGTTTTGGTATTTCAAAAAACGTCTGGGTTTTAAGGTAACCTCTAAGGTTCTTTTGAGAACGGGTTTGGCTAAACCATTTCAAAGTTTTATGCACTCTGTTGAGTCCTAATTTATTTAGGCTGTGTTTTGGCAAGTTTTCAAACAATATACTCCGTAGAGTTGTGGGTTTTGGTGACAACCGTGGCATTATATAAGCAATTATAAATTTATATCTCTTTTGATTTTTAATAACTTTTAAATAAACACAACAATAATATACAAAATATTAAATGTACAAACAATCCAGAGAGTAGGGTCTAGGAAAATATTAAATGTGTATAACATTATATTTTTATCGCAATATATTTCATTAAAAATTACTCCCTCCGTCCCAGTGTATTTGTCCAGTTTAACTTTTTTGAGTCAAACTGGACAAACTTTGAGCTTCAATTAAATAAAAACTGTAATGTATTTTAACATAAAAATGACTTTATTGGATTTATCGTATTGAGAACTTTCAAAATTGTATTTCATTGTGCTAATATGCAATGTAAATTGAGAGTAATTGGAGTTTAAAGTTTGTCCAGTTTGACACGAAAAAGTCTAACTGGAACGGAGGTAGTATACAGTTTTGAAAAAACTTTACATTGGCGGGTCGTTTTGGGTTTAGACACTTTCGGGTTTGGTAATTTTAAAACCTAGTATTTGTGTTCGAGACTTGTGTAAAAAATATTTTGTTAATTTTTGACATGTCTACTTTAGAGTGACATAGAGACAGAAAAAACATGCATATACATGTGCATATATGTATGTATGTTCGAATGAGTTTGAACTCAATCAAAAGCCAATGGGGTCGGCTCAAAAAGGAAAATGGGAAGAACCAAAGAGGACGGAGGGAATATTTGTTAACTAGAAGCATATAAAACCAAACGTCAAACCATCATTGAAATGTACTTTCTTGGCTAGTTGTTTGTCCATTGCATTTTGTATGTTTCGAATGCATATATGGTTACACAGTTGTGTGAAAGGTTCAGTCCTCAAAGTGGGCTGCTCACAAACTACAGCGAAAGAGTGACATTTCTTACCGCTCAAGATTATCAAAACACCTCCCAAATACATGTTTTCAAGGTGCCCTCACTGAAAGTGTTCTAGTTCTCTTGATCTCATATTCAAGCAAACCATGTACTACTAAAAATTGCCGTATACTTTTCCATGGTTCTAGCCCCTATTTCTGCACTGAAAAATTTATGCATCTTGTTTGTACACTGATTATACTCTTTTCTAACCACGTATGAACTATGAAGCTAGTCTAACATACAGCAGTTGATATCAATGCAAATTTTCCAATATGATCTGTATTTCACCAGATGAATCCATTTTTTACTACAAGTACCCTTACAAAAGTAACAAAGTTCTCATGATTTTTCAAACATTAATGTTTCAGTTTCGTAGCAACCAATTCTTCACTGATGCTTGCAATGCAGGTGCTTGGTTCAGCCGGAGTGATAGGTAATCCCATGGGGTTTGCAAGAAATGTAACTCTTGGGATCAAAGATTTCTTGTCTGCTCCTTTACAAAGTGCTTTCCAGGTACTCTATCATGTGTTTCATCTACTAAGAAGCTTTCTATTTATGAACACTAAACTAAAACTGGTTTCTGCAGAGTCGTGCAGGACTTATTACGGGTATGGCGCAAGGCACATCTAGTCTCTTCAGCAACACTGTTTATGCAATAAGTGATACTGCCACTCAATTTAGCAAGGCTGCGAAGAAGGTATATTTTTTCCTTCCTTTAGCACTTTGAATTTGATGTAAATAATGTGATCATATTGTCTAAAATTGGTATTTTACCTTAACTGTATAGGGCATCGTCGCATTTACATTCGATGATCACAGTATAGCAAATATGGACAGGCCGCAGAAGAGAGTATCTTCCAATAGTAAAGGTGTGATAAATGAATTACTAGAGGTATGTGTTTTCCCTTTCAGCTTCATAGGTCATATATTTCTTCTTTTTCATGCTTTGGATTTTTCACTTTCGTAATGGAATGTGATTAGAACAACAATCTTAACTAATAAAAAATTCAACTTTGTATTGATGTTCAGGGTCTTACTGGTCTATTGCAGTCGCCAATAAAGGGGGCTGAGAAACATGGACTCCCAGGAATAGTCTCAGGTATTGCTTGTCAAAGATGCACTTGGTTATCCTCATAGTCCATTATACCTCAATTGTCCTTAATATGATATATCTTCTTGGAACTATTAGACGTTAGTTATTATGTTCCCTCCATCCCAAATTATTCATCCTATATCCTAAGTTGAAATGTTAAACTTATCAAAATGTACAAAATGTGAAAATATTCCTCCTACAAATGTAAACCCTACCAATTTACAAACCGTTATCTTCTCTCCTCGATTTGTTCTCTGCTCTTTGCCTCCTACCCTCCTTTCTTCTCCCTCACTTTTTCTTCTAACCACGCTCTTAACCATGGATTCAACCAGATCCAGATTAGGCACAACCCTAACATCGGATTCATTAATGAAAACTCAAAGCTACTCAGATCTGGAGCAGAAGGTCGTTAGACCTTCAGTTCCACTAAGAAAAGGCGTTCAATTTCAATTGTTAAAGCAATCCGAGCCAGATATCTCCATTCCCGTCCCCTAAATTCAATATGCTGTCTCAGTCAGAGGACTCCCTTTCAGGATCTGTCTGAAACTGACTCTGGGTGATCCTCTGATCATTACTACCTCACTTTTAATTGTTTTATTAGTGGGAAGGGAAGAATTGGTCAGTCAACAACATTTTATGGCTTTTCTTAAACTCCGTGAAAGTCAGACCAAAAACTGTATTTTGGGACGGAGGGAGTATTATGAAATGAAGTTTTCAACCAAAGCTTTCCAAGCCCGTAGATGGATGTGGAAATGGTGCTTTATCACTGTTATTATACATTTTTTCTTCCAGGCATAGCCCTTGGAGTGACAGGCCTCGTGGCAAAACCCACGGCCAGTGTCCTTGATGTCACCGGTAAAACAGCACAGAGCATAAAGAATTGGAGCAAGCGACTCCACAGTGGAAACCAACAACACTTTAGGGTTCGCCTTCCAAGACACCTAAGTAGGGAATATCCTCTGCGGTCGTATTCTTGGGAAGAAGCAATTGGGGCATCTGTACTCCGAGAGGCGGACGACTGTTCTTCAAATCTCAAAGATGAAGCCCTAATCATCTGCAATTCACTCAAAGAGGAAGGTAAATTCGCAATCATTACCAAGAAACTCCTCTTGGTTGTGAGCAGCAAAATCTTTGCAAACCTGGGTAAGCCGGAGCTTCAAGGGGTTCCAGCTAACCTGGAATGGGTGATAGAAACAGAGATAGGGATGGATAGCATCATACACTTTGACCTTGATGAACAGTCAGTGGTGCATATCGTTGGGAGCAGGCCCGAGATACTTGTGAGGCAGAACCCGCAACGAAGAGGCCCAAGAAGGAACAATGATCCACATGATCCTCTCCCCTTATTCCAGACTGACTTAGCGTTTGCATCAAAAGAGAAGGCGCAAAACTTTCTAGGAACGCTATCGTCATCAATCCACCGGACTAAAGAACAACAACGCCGGGGTCATGGGCATGTCTTACACCAAAGTAGCATAAGGCATAGATTTTGAAGAAAGAAAAGTAGAGTAGGTTTTTTTTTCTGTTTTTTGTACATAATCAAGATGATGAAGGCTGTCACCACTGATTGTCCATATTAATTATCATTTTCAAGATGCATTTAGTACTCCCTCCTTTTAAGAGTATTCGTCGAACTGAAAATTTTGATAATCAATTAAATAAAAATTGCTTTGCCTATTAATACAAAAAGGATTTTATTAGATTTATGTTGCAAAAAGCTTTTAAAAAATTGTTTTTTTTGTATTAATATGTGATATACTCTCTAATCTTCTGTTAATTGTTGATGGAGATTCATCAAATTTGACTTTAAAAAAGTCAAAGGTAGATGGATACTCTTAGATGGAGGTAATTTTTGCTCATTACTTGTCTGTTTAAGTAAATTCGCATGATTAGAAATGTCATTTTATTTCATCCTTTTCGTTAAATCCACAACAGTGAATGTTGGAGAGCTTCAAACTCAAGAACCCTGATTTGGCATACATATAATTGGGCTAGTTTGACCAAATAGTACCCCTGGGTGTGTTTCTGCAGCATCCTACAAGTGGGGATAATATAGAATTCAAATTTATAACATGATATGGAGTGTATGTTCTCTTTGTCTGATTTGACTGTTTATAATGTATTTCGTATGAATTTATTAAAATATTATCATATCTAATTTTTTTGTTTCATCTCAATTGATTTTATCTCATCATGTTCTAGTTAAAACTTAAAAGTTGATTTTGATCGATCTGATTCGGTAGAAAAAAAGACTAATAAAGTTTATTTTTATAAAAATTATTTCGTCGAAAGGTAACATGAGTACATGACGTATATTACACCCTATCAAGAGGTAATATTATGTTCTAAAATGAGTTACACCCTTTGAACGTGTAAATCTCATAGTTTTTTAATTAATTTTTAAATCTCATAATGTATCATGTGTGTATTAAAATTGGGCTCGACTCGATCCGCCCACATGCTTAATATATTAAGCAGAAGCCTATTCTTGTTTGAACGGGTCTACACGAACTTATCAAGTTGCTATACCCATTGTATACGGCAGGGCGTTGTTGTTTTGAATGCTGCCACAACCAAAAGTATCTCACTGAGAAGAAATTACCTGAGAACATATCTACAAAATACAAGTGACATGTATGTATCCCAAAAATAGGATAATTGCACTATGACAATGTTATATATAATTATTCTACATTGTCTTTTGGGTAATATATATTGGCATTTTGGCATTGTAAATCATATTTTGTGAATAAAAACATAACAAGCATTTCAATTCTTTCTTATAATACTTTTGTTTTAGTCTTTCTTCCCTCAATAAGTCCATGTCCATTGTTTGGCTAAAAAAAGTCTTTCATCGCCTTTCTCCTCAAAAAGCCCCTAACCAAACAAGCCCTTGGCAAATGGGCATTGAGAAAAATCCCAGAAGTCTTGAAAACACGTAAAAACAGGAAAGATGGAGGAGGCGACCCAAAGAGTTTCAAAGAATAAAGTTTGAGGTATATATAGTGTTCAAAAGTGGCAGGGATCTCTCTCTGGCTTTACAAGAGAAAACAGAACTCATACAATTTTATATAAAGTTTTCCTGTATCACAAACTAGAACAACAAAAAGGCTCTCAGATTCCATCTATTGCCTCCAATCCAACAAATAAAAATATAGAAAATGGGGGAAAAAATGCTTTTTCTGTAATCTCACCTTCCAGTTCAAATGGGGAATAGATATTCTTCAAGAAAAATGAGCGGGAAATAGCTTACGACAAATCGAGCTTTTTGGGCACCAGTTTGTTCACTTATTATGATACAACTTCAATGGCACTTCCTAATGGCCAAGCTGCCTCAACAAGTGAGTTCTGATATTTCACTTTTTTTACCAAAGTGATCTCTTGCTGAGGGTTGAGCCCTGAAAACAAGCATTGGGGTAGGTAATTAGTTTCAGAATGTCAATACGATCCTTTTTTACCTGCCTATTTATTAAGCAAGTACATGGGTGTAACATTAATTGCTTCTTTTCAAGCTTTAGGGTTTAAGCACAACAACATTACCCCAGTGCCTCAAAGGCTTCCGCCATTGAGGGGTAAGGGAGAGCGACTGTCCCATGATGAACGTTGAAAGTTGCATTGGCTTACTGTTACTTCACTATTGAAAGAAGCGTAGACACTTAAAAGGGTCGTTTTGCTTTAGAAAAATCATATTACATGTGTAGACAAGATAATCATAAGCCTTTATTATGATGGATTCATAAATTAAGGTAATCTTGCGAGAGTGGAAAGATGAATAGTCAGTATCTGATCGGAGAGGGCAAGAGGGGCATGTCAAATATGAAAGATTTGTGTGATTCTCATATGGAATGGAGTATCACTTACCAAAGCCATCTACAAGCAATGTGAACTGATAAACAAGATCCATACACAGGTATGGCAAGTTGTCCTCACCAACATTTGGATATTTAGATTTGGCGTCCTCAAGACCAGTTTCACAAGCAGCTTTAGCAGCACTTTCAAAATCAGCCGGACGAACTTTAGCAACAGGCAAACTTCCATTAATGAAGCCAGCCTGCATGCATGCATACTATGTGATGAGCATTTACATTAAAATCATGCACTTTTCTGAACACTTTGACATCACAAATGAGTCATCGTCATCATCACCTGAATCCCAACTATGTTGAGGTTAGTGACATAAGATTTGCAGTATCAACTAATTTTTTAAAAAACATTTGACACTGTAAATTTGTAGTTAGTGATATGATCTACATGCACCCAGCCTCCCTAGACCTTAGGGGGTTGTTGTATTTAACACTAAATTTCTGTGGGAAATGGTAACATTTACGCCCGGTCGCCCGCATCTCGATTATGAAGCTCTAATATAACCTTCATTGTCAAAGATTATACCTGCATGCGAGTATTGTAACCAATAAAAATGTATATAGTCGTCAATTACCAGAAGAAATATATACCTCTGCAGCTCTATCAAAGAAGAATGAAGCAACAAAGAGATTCTTCTGACCATCGCCTCCGCCTCCATTCCACACTCCACCGAAAGTGCATTTCATATTTGTGCATATTGATTCATTGACTTTAAGAGCCTTAATAGATATGTCCCTGCAACTCCTCATGTTTGAACCATAGGGCAAAGGCGATGCAGAGTAAACTTCTCCTCCATATTTATAAGACCCTTGCAAAGGACACAATCACACAGTCAAAATATTGATGCATTCCATTCAAAAAGTACAGAAGACAAAGGATTACAGATGTGTCTTTCTTTTAAAGGAGTGAAAGATATTCCATGTGCCCCAAAATGAGTGTACATATAGAAATTACTATCCAATATTCTTTGGTCAATTGTTTGTCATCTTCATTGTTTTCCCATGTTTTTTAGCACTAATAACTCTATTACAATTGTAGTATATGTTGATACATACTCTCTCAACCTATTGAAGCACCGAGAGTTACCGCCTCCAGTTGGGATTAAACCTGTGACCTCCCATTTGGAAGAGTCGCCTCTTGGTGCCATTGGACCACAAGGTCTTTACGTCTTTGGCATTTTCCCATGTTCTTTAACTACTGCTTTTCATAAATATCCATGAAAAGATTGTGGAAACTCGTCTTAGGTGGTTTGGACATGTGGATAGAAGACCAATAGAACATCCGATGAGAAAGGTTGATCAAGTGGTGAATAGACATGTGGCTAGAGGAAGAGATAAGCCCAAGAAGATTTGGCAAGAAGTGGTCAAGAGGGACCTTCACGTGAATGATCTCACAACAAATATGATACATGATTTGGCACAATGAAATTTGTTTGATCCGGGTAGCCGACCCCACCTAGTGGGATAAGGCTTTGTTGTTGTATCCATGAAAAATAAAAACTCAAACAAAAATGAGTTGCAAATGTAAACTGGACAAACATATAAACATGCAGAGCTCTACAATTTAATTTAAATAAAGGTAGCTGCTGATAAGAAAATAGTACCATCATATCCTGCCAAGATGCAAGGATTGCCCGAGTTTTCTGTGACCTTCAAGATCTCAGCTCGAGCTGCTAGCAATCCATAGTGCAAATAACTGTAATGGAGATATAAACAATATTATAGAGGTAAAAGATAAAGAATAGCATATTTAAATATATCTGCAAAATAACAATGCAAGCCCCTTATGAAAATGAAATGAAAATCCAAACCAATTAATGCTATTTTAGCGATGAAATATCAGAATGTGATGGTCGGGCCGAGTTCTACATTTTCCCAATTCTGAAGAACAAAACTTATGAAGAATGAGACAGACCTGTGCACATAAAGGTAATATTTCCTTCCTTTAAGATACATCTCCTGCACGTATTTATCCTCTGCATCTGACAATTTTGGTGCCTTCTGAGCATCGGACTCTGATACAGCATAAGCCATTTGTACAGATCCACCACCAAGATCAACTACACCGACAGTTTTAGAATACTCTTCACCCAAATTGCCTAAGAGATAGTTAATAGTCACCTACAGGGATAGGCAAAAGTCAAACAAAAAATTTATTTGCATCTAGTGATTGTACAACCTATGCTCAAGTGGCGTCTTGTAGGGGCTTCTTGTGGCTGTGATATCAATAGCCATATAGGAACAGCTTGCTAAAAGCTGATGGGTAACAGAGAGTCAGGGACTATATCTTCCTTCAAAAGACACTTATTATGTTTATCCACTCATCTGTGTAAGAGAGAGAAATGATGTAAATCATGTAATCATTTCTTCAAAAGAAAAGTAGAACCTTATTTTGGGACAAGCAAAAAGAGAATTGCACTATTGCAGGACCTTTTTTCGGGAGGGAGTGAGTATAATGTACTACAACATTTTGTTTAATGATGTAAACCATAAAATTATTTCTTCAAAAGGAAGGTAGAACTGTATCCTGGGACAAAACATATAGAGAAATGTGGAACTTTTTTCGGGACGGAGGGAGTAAAATGTACTGAAACATTTAGTAAATGAAGGCAAAGAAGGAATACAGGTTGTCTGCAATACATTGTGATTTTGAAAATAATTTAAATCTAATTGTACATAGGCAGCAATCTCAGATTAACTAACTGCACTCCTCAGAAAGGGAAACATATCCCCCTCTCCAATAAAATCAATCAAAACATCCTGCCTGGTCCAAAAGCTCAAATTCTAAATAAAAAAGGTGACTCAGTTTTTTTTTCTTCTGAGATCTCAAAATGTACATTTGCATATAAAGACCATAAACATAATGTTACCATACCCACTCATAAGCACCTTCCTGACTTCCATCCAGGACAGTGACCCAATCGGATTCTAACTTGAAGCTGCTTTTGCTCTTCAGAAAATCTCTTACCTTCATCACAAAAACTTAAATTTAATAAGGTAGCAAATTAGTATATATTTGGTATAAGATTATAAAGACACAACCACTAAGTGAAACAACACATAACAATGGACTGAAAAGAAAACATTCAGCTTACTGCTTGCAGAATCCTATCAGGGGCATCACCTTCTAATTGCCTCAAGCCTGCAGTTGCCTGAACAAATGCCCATGTAGGCAGTAAGTGTCAATTCATCTTCAAAGACGATAAAGATTCTCTCTTTAGTGAGAGTCATGCTATTTGTTTTTTTTTGACAAAATGGAAATTACTAACTCCAACTCTGACTGGTGTTTTGCTCTGAACATGTTGAGGAACTACAGCCTCTGCCTTTTCGAGAAGTGGCTTGATGGAGTTTGCAGCAGCCTCAGGATCAGTTGGGAAAGCACTCAGGCCCGGTTTTAACTGTCATATCAAAGCCAATCAGCAGATGGAACAATTATTGATATCAATTGCCAGTAGCAGACAGTTGGAAAAAAGGAAGAAGCAAATTATTACAAGATTTGCCAAAAAACATTGCAAGATGGAAAACGTGGACATGTTTACCAGCAAGTATAGACAAATGTACCTGTTCAAAAACCTCGAGACCATTGCCAATGGGAACGAGATCAAGGTTCTTATCAAAACAGAAGACGTGAACTCTGCTGCCGGAACTGCCGGCATCAAAGATGACGGCATACTTGTTAGATCCGAAGTCCGGAGAGAATTTGCGGTTGATTTTTCCCAGAGAATCGGAAGGAGATCGAGTAAGAAAGAGCAGGAAGCCTATAAGCAGGAGGGGAACGGAGACGAGAAGAAGGATGGCGCGGTATCTCAGGATCTTGTCAGAAAGAGAGTCGTGCGAGCCGCGGTTGCGTTTGATGGCCTTCTCCATTTGATCCATGGGAATGTGGTGCGGTTGTGACTCCAGGAGCTCAACCGCGGACGGCGATCGGTGACGGATCTGGCCGTTCCCCGGCGGGTCAATGGCTGGGGTGTCCTGCACAGACTCCAGCTCTCCAGAATGTGGCGCAAGCGAAACTATCTCTCTCCGTCGGTCTCGCCGGAATGCGCAGCGCCGCCAGCTTCAGCCCGGCTATGCCCACCGTTGCTGCTCGGATCCAACGCCGCGGACGAGAAATAATGAAGTGAATGGCGGGTGCTGCCACCCCTCACATGACACGTGCCCCCTCCTATAAGGCTCCATCCCGTTCCAATTTCTTGTACGGGTCCCATTGGCTGAACCGGGAACCGGAACCATTTACAGCATATCTTACTCTTCTCAGCTCTCACCTTCTCCTGATCGTCTGCAGCACGAGCAATGCGGTGCAGTGCGCCTCTCCCCCTCTCTCGCACTCTAACTCCCTCTCCGGTTCCCTCCTCCTTCGCTTCTCGCGTTTCACGGAGGCTGCAGCTTGGGTTTCCCGACAGGGCTGCTGCGGCGGTGTCTAACTGGAAATGCATCCGCCGCGCCTGTTTCCGCTCCGCTGCGCTGTCTCCGTCTCCGGTGCCGTCCGGAGAGTGTGATCCGCCGGCCGAGACCGAAGACTACGTTGTGGTCAATTTCTACCGTTTTGTGTTCATTCAAGACCCACAGGAGCTGCTTGCTCAACACATCTCGTTCATGGAGGCAACTTAACTGCCCTTCATTTCATTCTAATTCCTGAATCCCTCTGTTTTTTTTTCAATTGGGACTGGGAAAAGGGTCATTAGTGCCCTAACTTGTAGAAATGGAGCAATTTTGTCCATCAAGTATGCTCTTAGGTTATTTATGGGCCGAAAATTGCCCCTTTTTCCATGCTCAATGTTACCCTAATGTTAGTTTATTGACTCAAAATGCCCAAATCGTTAGTTATTGGCTCAAACATTTCCATTTAATGATTATTTGACGATTTTTTTCCATTATCTCCGATGGAGCCAAAATTTCACCATTTTTGGCTTTGGGGTGTGATGGAATAAATCAAAATGGATCTCTAAACTATCTGCGCTTCTTTAATTAATGAAGTAGCAATTAGTCAAACAATGCAACTTTCGATGTTGAGCCGGGGGTCTCTTTGGAAACAGCCTCTCTACTTTCGAGTAGGGGCAAGGTCTGCGTACACACACCCTCCCCAGACCCTACTCTTGTGGGATTTAACTGGGTTGTTGTTGTTGATTATTTGACGATTCTCTGCATGAAGGGTCGTGATATTCATGGGCGGATATATCTCAACGAGCAAGGGATTAATGCTCAGGTATGCCGTGAATAGGTTAGTTTGCTTCATTCACTATCACTCTGTGCAAATTTCTGTTTCCTGCTTGGAATTTTAGCTCCAAAGCTGACAGATTCAGTCGTGAGTTGCTTGTACCTCGCATTGTTAGTACAGTACAGCGGCCCGAAGAAAGATGCCTTGGCGTATGTTGATTTTGTAAAGGAAGACCAAAGGTTCTCCGACATTTTGGTCCAGACATCTCCAAGTTTATATGGCTGCCATGTCTTCCCAAGGTTGAAGTTGCGGTATAAGCCCTCTCTTGTTCAGGCAAGCCACCTTATGTCTGATCAGTCATTCTTGTTTCTACTGCTCAGGTGAACTTCCCGGCTTGATTTTTTTTTTCCGCCAATCATCTGTGTGGGCAGGTTGTGGGAAAAATCTCACATCTTTCTTTGCTTGACTCGGCAAAATGTGCAACACCTTTGACACCATCCCAGTGGAGGATCCGATTGGAGGCAATAAATAATGTCAATAATTTGTCAAATGTGGATATCAACAGAAAGTGTGTTTTACTTGACGTAAGAAATGGTAATTGCCTGCAAGTTTTTTTCTCCAAGTAATATCTTTTCAAGCATGTTGCAAGGCAGCTGCCTTTACTATGGAGTAATGCTTTATGAGTTGTAGTTTGTATTTATTTGTGCCATGGATTTTAGTTCTTAGTTACGTATGACATGGCCTATCACCATGTCTTATACACAGGTTATGAATGGGACATTGGTCACTTTCAAGGAGCTCAGAGGCCTAATGTTGACTGTTTCAAGAGCACTTCATTTGGGCTTTCTGAGCCAGAGGTATTGCCAATTTACTTATTACTCCCTATACAATATGGATATCATATGCTACATTTTCCCAAGTACGTAGTTTCTCAAGGTTTTACTTCAATTCTTTACAGGTTTTTAATGTTGGAACTTTACACATTACAAAGTTGAACCGATGTTTATTACCAATTTCATATTTTGGCAAACTATGGTGAATGAACGGATGATCTTGTTTTGTTGTATTAAACGCAATATGATATCCTTAGCTTGTACACTGTGGATAAAATGTTGTAGCTGTAAATCTATTGAGATCCTTAGCTTGTCCAATCAATGGATTAAGTGTTGTAGCTGAAAACCTATCCTAGCTAGCCTATCCAGTTGCAAATGATCTAGGATGTGTATTAATTGCAGAGAAAATGACTTAGAAGCCATTGCAATTTGCAAGTAGTTGGAGTTTTATGTAATTTTTTATGTAATTTTTAAATACACAGATTTTATTTTTTAATTCCACACCAATTTTGAAATAAACTGAAAAAATAGCTTTAGTCAAGCATCATTAACCGCAATAAAAATCTTTACTTGGCATGGAGGGAGCAGTTTTTCTTTGCATGATTTTAGTGTCAAACTAATTTTAGACAACTAATTTGAAGTGGTGATGATGATGGTCTGGTTGCATAGGACCCCCCTCCCCGGGGTTTCCATAGTGTATTTCCATAAAGTGCCTGAGTTAAATTATGCTTCTTTTTAGGTGAATGCACAATGTTAAGTAATTTTAGACAAGTAACTGACATAATTTCATCGACCTCAATATGGGATAATGTCGAGTATGTGCTTGCATATGCATTCTTTGTGCGACTTCCCATACTGAATTTCCATAAGAGTGCTTAGTTACTTATTGTTTGCAGGTCCTTGCTTCTGATCCTTTAGCAGGTGTTGATAAAGATAAAACTGATATATTGATGTACTGCACTGGAGGCATTCGCTGTGACATGTACTCCACACTCCTGAGGTAATCCAAAATCCAAATTGAATAGGAATACTTTTTTTTTCTTCCGGAGGATCAATATTACAATAGTTCTTTTCTGATTGTCATACTGCTAAGCATTTTGTTTTCCTTGTTTTTCATGCATCTATTTGGGTATGTTTTGCACTAACATGTACTCTAAAATGTAAAGAAAAACAATGAAATGTTCTTACTGTTTTATAATTGTACATATACTCCGTATTAGATTTCTTAATGTTTATATATTAGAAATAAATAAATACTCTCTTTGTCCCAAATTAAACTTCTCATTCACTTTTTGGCTTTTTGCATGGAGTTTAATCAAGTGAGAAGTTTATTTTGGGACAGATGGAGTATATAATATTATAAATGAGTTTGAACTAATATATACAATAAACTTAGTTTTTTATTGTATCTTCTATTCCACCAAAGTTTCTTTCTTTCTGATTTTACTACTTAATTTAATAAATTCCCACATATTTTCTTTCCCTAATATTTTTCCAGGATCCAAGCAAACCCTATATGCCCTGACAAATGTTCATGTCTTCATGTGTGTGTGTGACAGGGAAAAGGGGTTTGAACGGTTATATACCCTAAAGGGTGGGGTCTCCCATTACCTCAAAGCGGAAGGCTCTTCCGGATGGATTGGAAATGTTTTTGTATTTGATTCGCGCCTATCTCTACCACCATCAAGCTACAACCCTGAAGCAGAATCACAACTAGATGGAGCGGAAGAAGTCAAATCACAGCATAAGGCATTTGCAAGTTGTTACGTTTGTGGTTCACACGTTACGGAACTGAGGCACCGTAATTGTGCAAATATAGACTGCAACCATCTTTTCCTGTAAGTGCACACACACAGACACATCCAATAATTGAAACCCGTGTAGGATATTACATATACCCCCTTCGTCCCAAAACTAATTTCATTGTTTGACCTCACGGGGTTTAAGAAAAATGCTGAAAAGTAAAAAAATGAGTGGTTAAGTTTTGTTTTGAAGAGAGAAATGTGTGAGCCACATATTCATTTTAGGGCATCAAAAATGGAAAGTATGACTTTACTTTTGGCATCATTTGAGCTATGTTGATGAATGAATTCTTAGTTACGCATCGATTTTGCTTTTGAGTTGACAAAGCCCTTGACATTTGACGAATATTATTGTTTATACAGATGTTGCAGGGAATGCTCGGCCAATCTACGGGGAAGTTGCTGCTTAAACTGCACAACTGCTCCCCGACTCAGACCTTTGTTACCAATCAAGGGGCACCAAAAGTATGAGAAGTGGCACCACTATCGAGATCTCATGCAAGCGCAACGCATATCATGAAGTATTCTTCTTGGGGCTGTTTTCGTTCACCTTATTGTTGGTCGTGAATAAGGTTAAACCCCGCATATCATGAAGTACTAGTTTAAACCCCCCGTGCTTGCACTCATTACGTGTTTCGTTCCATTTTAAAAGTTGGTCGAAAGAGCGGGATGGCCCTTTGGGCTCGAAAACAAAATCTAGAACTATGTTTCTTCACTTTCTTGTATAGAATTGTTCTTGTTGTTGTTGTATTATTATAAATTTATCGCAAGTATTACTCCGTATTATTACTATTTTAACTTTTTTTGAACAAGTATTTTTTAAATTACTACTCCCTCCGTTCCAGTGTATTTGTCCACTTTGACTTTTCCGAGTCAAACTGGACAAACTTTGAGCTTCAATTAAATAAAAATCGTAATCTATTTTATCATAAAAATGACTTTATTAAATTTATTGTATTGAGAACTTTCAAAATAGTATTTCATTATGCTAATATGCAATATAAATTAAGAGTAATTGGACTTCAAAGTTTGTCCTGTTTGACTCGAAAAAGTCAAACTGGACAGATACACTAGGACGGAGGTAGTATTTTAGACTATTTTTATGAGGATGATCATTCGAGTAATTGTTTATTAAATCATCCAATATATAATACAGAGTAAACCAAATCATTTTTACACTTGATTTCCGAAATAATTATTATTAACACAAGTATTTCATCATTATTCGTATAAAGGTTGTGGTTATTATTATTACACTATTTACTTTTTAATACTCCCTCTGTTCACCATAGATTTTCCCACACTATTTACAGGGTCAAACTTAATTCACTTATTTGTTTATTTTTACCACTTATTTCATAAAGTAATATAGTGTTGTCATTTCTAGTTTTGTAGAACTTTTCATGTAGTTTATTATTACATAGATTTTATATTAAAATTTTACCCCTATATTCAAATAAATTGAATTAAAAATAAAGTCGGTCAAGCCTCGTAACGCGCAATGAGAAGATCTTAGGTGGACGGAGGGAGTACTTTTTAATTATAATTTGATTTGAGTCTCTTGTATACTTTTTAAACTATTATCTTCGTCTTTAAATAATTTATACACTTTACTATTTAGAAATAATGATAACTTTTGTTTAACTCTGTTTTAATTAATTATTTGATGAAATAAAATATTTTTGTCAACTCTTATTTTGTAAAATTTTGGTATAATTTATTAAATATGTAAATTTTATTTTTTTATTTATATACTTATCTTTAAATAAAATAAATTGAAAGAAGATTTTAATTAATAAATATTTAAAACACTTTCGGTTGAAGGAATTGGGCAGCTGCAGCGACGCAATGTTACGGAGCGGCGCAAAGGCGGTGTTGTACCACTACCCGTGTCCCGACGGCGCCTTTGCCGCGTTGGCCGCTCATTTATACTTCTCCTCCCTGCCTGCCACCACGGCAGCTGCTACTCCGCCGCCTCTCTTCTTCCCTAACACCGTCTACGCTCCCCTCCGGCCCGGAGACCTTCCCATCTCTCAAATCGACTGTGTCTACCTATTGGACTTTGTGGGCCCCCCTTGCTTTCTGCGGCACCTTTCCTCTCTAGTTCGGCGGTAATACTCAAATCCCCCCCCCCCCTTTTTTTTTGAAAATCCAATGCTCATTTTTTGTTGTTTCTAAGATGCCCATATGCCTGAAATTGGGTGTAGTGCATATTATATTTTGCAGACAATATGCTCTTTTTTGTTTTGAATAATTCTCATTTCATTTAGTTTTATTGTATTTGTATTTTTTTGTTCGGCTCATTGCACTTGTAAACAATGCTCGTTTTGGTGTGGAGAATACTCATTCTGCTTCTAAAGAGTGCTCAATTCAGATGTTGGGTGTCTAATCTCTGAAGTACATTCAAATGTTCAATGTATAAATAAGTAATAAATGTAGTCAATTTGATATTGTGAAATATAAAATACTCCTTATGTCCCATGCAGAAGAAGGTTACACTTTCCTTTGTAGGAAAAATTTGTGTTTCCATATTATTTCTCTCTATAAATCTCAGCCACACAATTACACATTTCTTTATAAATTTGCCTCAGTCAAATGCGAAACCTTTTTATGGTATAGAGGGAGTGAAATTTCAAGACTACTTCGTTTGAGAATCAACTTCTCCATATTCACGAGCTCATATAAGCGTGTGACTTAAAGGAGAAGGCTTTCCAACAAAGCGTGTGACATAGGAATTTAGGAATGCTATGCATACGAAATCCTTTTTTAAATGCCTTTATGCCATGAAACTAACAAAACATTGTTGGGCCCTATGGTACTACGGTTCAAAATATTAAAGCATTCCACATAAGTGACAGCAGTAACTTTTTTGCATAATTTGCCGCAAAGAGGTCATGTTTCAAAAGGTATTTTCTCAAAGAGTTCTATTGGAGTTAAGTTTTCATGTAATTTGTCAAAAACAAAAAAACAAGTTACATAGAACTTTCATATTATTGTGCAACTATGCAAATCACATGAAAAATTAAGGGGGGAAATTTAGCCATGTTTTAAATCTAATTTTCCTGTCTTCATCTTGGTGTCGATTTTCCAAAGAAAGGGAGGGATGCCTTTATCTTGGCTCCTCACTCCCTCAAAAAATCAAATTCTCTTGGATGCTTAGCTGTGAGCCTATGACAACCAATTATGACTTTATCTTGTTCTGTAGATGAGTTTGGAGGTTGAAGGTTAAAGTTTTATGGAAATTTCTTAGCCTCGGGTGTTTTGAGAGAGTACGATAATAAGCTACCAGTAACTTTTTTACTTAACTTTCCATTTTGTGTGTTGTTGTTTACTCACCCTTTTTCTTTTGTATAGTTTATTTTCCTCTTTTATTTTTCTTTTGTTTGTTTGTTCTAACTTGTTTTATGTTTTCTTAAGCCGATGGTCTTTCAAAACACACAACCTTTATAAATAGAGTTACTGTGTACGTACATCTACCCTCCTCAAACCCCACTTGTGAGACCTAGCTGGATTGTTGTTGTTGTTGTCTTGTAGATAGAGATTCTCTATCTAGAAGTGTTGGTTGCCTAACTTTTCAACCAACTTGGGCATGCCATTTATTTTAATTTCAAGTGGTGGCTCTCTTTATATGTTAGAGGGGATCACCCAACAAATATTTGATTCTTCGTAAAATACCTATAGATTGATTTATTGGTGAGTACTAGTAGTAGTATGATGATTATATCTTCTGCAGTGTTATTGTATTGGATCATCACAAAACTGCACTAGAAATGTTGGGTGCTGAGACATATGCTGGTGGGGAGGTGTTTAAAGTGATTGACATGGATAGGAGTGGGGCCACTATTGCTTATGATTATTTCTTGGAAAAGCTCTTAACTGCTACTACCCGGGATTCCCATAATGGGGCTGCCAATGATGGTTCATTAGACCGAGGAATACGTGAATTCCGAAGACTGCGGCGACTCTTTGAATACATTGAAGACAGAGATTTGTGGAGATGGAAACTTCCTGATAGTAAGGCATTTAGCAATGGCCTTGATGATTTGAAGATTGAATTTAATGCAAGATCCAACCCATCCTTGTTTGATCAGGTAGCCATTGCTAGGTGTTATTTTCTTGTGATTTTTTTTTTTTTGCAAAAATAGCACATTAGCGCACTACATGTAATTGCTTTGTCTTCCAAGTATTTGGTGGTGAAGATTTGTTTTCATTTGGCATTATAATTGATGCACATCTATAGAGTTAATGTCCAATATTCAACAATAAATTAACGAATAATTTCAGTCAAGATATATATCAGCTCAAGTTCTAACTGTTGCAAGAAATTCATGAAGTTTTTCTCATCCTAGTAAGTTGTTATCTAATTACCTCTTATGGATACTGATATCTGCAGTCCTGCTCTTTGGACCTCGACTCTCTCATATCCCAAGGGAAGATGACCATCTCTCGGAAGCAAAAATTGATAGATGACTCGCTTGAGAGGTCATTCATCATAGCACTTGGTGGAGGAACGTTTGGACATTGTCTGGCAAGCCTTTTTTTCAATTATCTATCATAAGCTGCTTTTCTCTTTTGTTTTAGGACACCATTGAATGGAATTGCTTGCTTCCCAAATCCTCCATGGTCGCTTATCAAATAGAACACATTCATAAGGTTGACAAATAACTGCTAGGGAGTATTTACTATGCAACTTAGCAAATAAAAACATACCATTCTAAAAAAGGTCATCTTTTAAACACTTTTTTGGTCCCAGAAAATTTAATTAAACCAATAAATAAATTTTAAAAATATAGAAGATGGTTCCATGACAGTTGTACCCTTCCAGAATAATTAAAATCTTGTGCATTGGTAAAAAAAGACGTTCCAATTTTTGGGACAGAGGTCGTATAAGTTAGCAGGTAAAATTGTGGATCCTGACAGTAACATGTGCATTCTTATTGAGCTCCTTTTTCTCCTTCTTTTTAGTAATCCTTTTGTGAGTGTTAGTTTTTTTATTTCCAGTAGCAAGTTGAAAAAACTTCCTAGTCTATTTTTCGTTCTTTTCATTGACCATCACACACGCTCTCCCTTGTATCTGTTTCCATCAAAGATAGCCCTTATATTTACAACACCAGATCCAAGTATGGTTGCCCCTTGCTAATAAAGCTTATGTGGAAAATTTGACCCTAATAAAAATGGATGGAAATAACGGAATAGAACCTTCTCATCACGCAATCATATTTTTACACTTCAATAGCATAATATCACATCTTTGGTACCATTTTCTTGTCCTTTATATTTTGCATGCACGAGGTTGCATTACCAATAAGAGAAGGTTTAAGTAAAGGTGATTGAACATAAAGAGGAAGATGCATTTTTAAGTGTTAGTGGACTTTATGTATTGGTGAAAATCTTTAAAGTAGTTCTGTTAGAAAATAAACGTGTAGAAACTGCAAATCTATCATTGATTTATGTTGGTTAACCTGGCTGAACCTTATTTCCCTCACAATATCATTATCATATTAGAAGTCTAACTTCATCTGTCTTTTACTTTAGGCTGTTAATGCAGATGCTTTATTTGAGTTGAGAAGCGAGCTTGGAAATCAGCTGGCTATTAAAAGTCGTGAATTGAAGCTCAGGTTTAGTTTACCTTCTTGCCCCCCCCCCCCCCCACACACACACTGTTACATTCCCTTATTAATAGAAAGAACTGTGAATGCATCTCATTT